ACACACACACACACACACACACACACACACACACACACACACACACATCCAGGCATGGGCACCAACAGACACCACCCTGGTTTGAGCACATGCTTGTTGGAAATCTCTCTGTTGCTGAGGGGACAGAGGGGAGCTTAAAGTTCCCAATAAAAATGCCTGTGTCTCTTTCATGTAAAAACACGCTGGCGTTTGCTTCGCCCCAATCTTCCTCCCGTCATTCAGAGTTATCGCGAAGCCGATAATCATCGCTTCACTTTTACATCGTTAAGATTTCATGTGAAAGAAATCTTGGGACAAACATCAAAATGCTCGCGGAGTCTAAAGTGGAAATGGGCTCCTGTCCAGAGCTGGTGTCCCCTTTCATTTGACTACGTAGAAGCCACCTCGATAAAGGCAGCCTTAACAGTAGAGAAAGGCCTCTTTTATAATTCTATTAGAGCTCTGTCCTTTCAGCTCTCCGTTGAGCAATGGATCCTGACCCTGACTTAATTAAGTGGCAAATGGCGGAATGATTCTCCTAAACCCAGCCCACGGAGTCAAGAACACATGACTGAATTCAAATAAAGAGGGACAAACAAGGATAATTAGTCAAGCCTGAAAGACAAAAGGCAAACGGGAATTCATAAGAAGGGAAGGGAAACTGAGACGGCGGGGGTGGAGCCACCGAATGACCAATCTGACTGCCCGCAATAAAGGTGCATTGGTCCATAGGGAGAGGAGGATGTCCGTCCCACCACTTGCCCATCTTTCAAACACATACCGAGTCCTCCTAAACAATCAAAGCCTCTGGAGCTCCTCCTACTCTTCCCCGCGGATCCGAATTCACTGCGGACACATCAAATAGACGCAGTGAAGGGGAGAAATGGTGGTGGTGGTTGGTTGGGGGAGGGGACTTGGGGTTTGACCAGCCTGAACAGACCTCACAGTGGGGGTGGGCAACTTGTATGGGACCGATTCCCATGCAGCCAGCAGCTTCACTTCCACAAGCAGAGGGGAGGGAAGAGACAGAAGAGTGAGGAAGAGGGACAGCAGCAGAAAGACAGAGAGGGGGCTCGGAGGGGAAACGACTGAGATGAAAAAAAACAAAACACACACACAACAGGGACAGAAAGCTGGGCCCCAAAGCATCAAAGGTTGCTAAGGGCCAGAAATGAAGGAGCAGCACAGTAAACGCCGCCGCAAAAGTGCTAAATAAGGCCTCCCGTGGGCCAGTGGGTACAGTGTAGACACGCTACGCTCCGAGAACAACAGCTGCGAAAGAATTAAGACAAATATTTTCACAAGTGGAATCGCTGCCGCTTTTCTCGCTTCCAGACCGCGGCCCCGAACAGATGACCAGAATTCAAAAGGTTGTTGTGCTGAGCTCTATAGAGAGGCCAACAGGAGAGCATCTGGGTGCCGTAGGCAGGCAGAGGGATGAGTTGAATATATTGTGACATTAATGAGGTTGTCAGACTCCTCGTGATGGAGTGGCTGTGTTTTTGTGCCGGCAAGACTAACACCCTTAAATGCTCATGCTGTTAACCCCTGCTGAACCCTCGCCTCACATACAAAGCAGAGGGGACGATAACACATGCCCTGCTTATGCATGCGGCCTGCTGCACGAACACATTTCAAATTCTCGGTCACATAAAGGACACATCATCAGAGAACAACTTCTTCTATGATTGTATAATGTTAACAATATTAAAACTACATTTACGGGTTAAGTAGACTTCGCCACGGTGACTCAGACATTCCTCCACGTCTACCTGGGTCTGAAACCCGGTGGCATGTGGGCAATTAGTGACTGTGGTTCCTGTTTCTCCCACACAGGGCTAATTACTGACCTGTGGGTTTCATTTAGAGAGGGAGAAAAGAGGGAGAGCGGGAGGACATGGGAAGACCCGGCCATTCATTTGTCTTAATTAATTACTCTTCCTCCACCAGGGCTCCTGGCAAGGCCGGCTATTCTGAAAGCTCTTCTGAGAGTTGGCGTTCCAGCTCTCCTAACCTGTGAGTAGCCCCGAAGCTTTGCTCGCTTATTTAGTTGGAATAACTTGGAGGACGGAGTCCACTGTGGACTAAATCCTAGAAACAGAAATCTATTGGCCACAGCGCCAAATGTTGTCGTAAATGCGGTCAGACAGCTTTGGGAGGGACGAGCAAAAGGTGCCACCGCCGGAGCGGAAGGGGTTAAAAGAGGCAGCAGGGCCAGGTTTGGAGAGGTTAGCGGTGTGATTCATTTTTATTACCACGCAGCCCCTGCAGGCGGCAGGAGTGGCAAATTATTTCTGAAACAAAGTGGAGGGCTCTCATCAGAGCTATTACCTGCCTGTGGCCGAGGGCGGCGCGGAGCCCACAGAGGGTGACAGTGAGAGGCCCGCGCCGGTGAGGGATAGCCGTCCACATCCGTCCACGCTCCGGGACATCTCCCCCAAATGAGAACCGGTGTCTGTGTATGTGTGTGAGTGTGTGTTTGTGTGCCAGTAGACGATAAGGGTAAAGTTAGCTGTTGGACCTCCCCCACAGTATCTGTCAAAATAGTCTGTGGTGTTTTCTATCGCGAACACGCCAAGCAATTAGAGGTGACGTGCAAAACACAGCGACTCCAAGGTGCTAATTAAAAGAAGTACTCCCCTCCAACATGCTGACTGCAGAGATCAGCCTCAATGTAGGCGCTCGCACAAATTCATCATCACGGATTTAACTGTAAAACAGCCAGGTCACGCTTTTTAACTAGGCTTCCTTTATATATGGGTCATAATTGTAACTAATGGCGTTATTAATGGTCGGTATATAATGTATTTCTTATAGATCAGTTATTATCCATGAATAAGAAGAACTTTTTGGGAAAAATGACTTTGGCTGTTTCACACGTCTGACTCCTTACTTTCTGGAAATCCATATTTATTTATTTTTTGTGGAAAATATTAGCACTTACAACTGCAGACTTTATTAATTACTTATCAAAGTGCAGGCTTGATGGCTTATTAGAAAGTGATAAACACTCGAGGATTTATTGATGGATTAACAACCCCCCAAAAAGAAACGATGGACACCAGCCAAAGGGATTTTTTACCTGGCACTCCAAAATGTTCTCCTATTAATGCTTATAACTGATCTAAAAAGCCATTTGTTTCAACTTCATGAAGGCTGCCTTATTAGAAAGCTGCACCATGCATTCTTCTACAATGTCTAAAAACAGGTGCCACATATATATACATGCACACCTGCGCCCATTACGATGCCTGTAATCGGTCTGATGCTGCTGTGCGGATCTGTGTTCGACAAATCTATATATTGTGTTCTTCCGATCCAGAATATCATAAGCTAAACCAATCTTGTGGATGAATGCTTTTAAGTTGAATCCAAAAGATGCAAGGGGGGGTAAAACTAGTCTTGCAGGAGACATTCAATCAGACACCGAGTTGATATTCAGGTAGTTACTGAATCGTTTAGATTAGGTGTCACTAATGTTTAGTGGGAATCGGGAGCCACACACTGCCTGCCTGGGTGCCATCACAAAGCTGCTGCACGTCACCCATGTGACACAATTAAAATCCTCTCATATGTGTTCGGGTTAAGAGGAGCATACGCAGAGAGAGAGTCAGGATTTATGGTGTTAAAAGAAAGAGAAAAAAAACGACATCCCATTAAGTTGGTTACAATTCATCATTTGTGAGCAAAATAATTTGATACCAAAGTTTCCCCCACGAGGGTACATTGTTCTATCAGCAACAAAACCATCAGCATCTCAATGACCAGTGGCCATATATGATATTTACAACTGCTGTGTTTTGTCTGAAGATTAGTTATGCTGCAAATGAGATTTATCGTTTGACAGGGAAAACGAATGGAGATGCTGCTGCGGGATAGGGATCGGATTTTTTTGAGACAATGAAGAACCTTCCTGCTCGAGGCGACGTGGGACTGACAGTGGCAGGGAGAGGAATCAACATCGATAATCTTTCATCAAGTCCACAGTGGAGCACTTTGGCACAGATACCATTCAATAAATAACTGTAGGCCATCATTCAGTTCTGAACTGGCCGGAGAGCGCAGGATGGATTCAAGAGGAAAAAGGCCTGAGACTCCGACCGGCGGAGTGGAAAAGAAAAGAAAACAAAAAAAACTATGAAAAACTGTTCATTAGCAAACTTTTCATATGGTCCCAGTATGAAGAGTGTAAGTAGTACACACTGTATGTCCAGTGATCATGTGCTGAAGTGCATCCTGAAACTGCTCCATCGACAAATAAAAATAAATAGGGAAGTGTATTTTAAGGTACTCACTTACTACTACTACGTTAACTTTTCCTCAGTGAAGTGATCCCTCATGTTTCTGGTTATAGGTGATGTGAGTAAAACTAATTATGGGATATGAATTGGTGCCATTATTGGGGTTATGTTTGAACAAATGCTCGGCTGATATGCTGTTCTTCTCTGACCATATACATGCAACATAAACCTGCCTTTTTATTTTCTTCATGAAATTAGAACACATTGACTTCAGTAATCTGTCTCTGCCAGATGATCGTTATGGTGTGTAAGCAGCAGAGGTCCTGCCTTAAAGAGCTACAAACCCTATTAAACTTCATTAGTATGACATTCAAGGGGCAGTTCTCCTGTCACGTCATTGTCTTTACAGTTGTTGCATTATTATCATTTTTTTAATCTAATAAGAATAATTGTAAACTTGCAATTTATTTTTGCAAGGAAACAAATAACACTGATGAAAATATTAGCAGCTTCAGTGCAAAAACTCTGTACTGGCTTTGAAAAACCGGACATTTCAAGGCTGAAATCAGCCCTGAAATTGATGATAGTTTTCCTTATTAATTCATCGGTTTCTTTTTATTGAACTTTTTTAATCGATTAAATGTTTATTCAGAAACTGTTACAGAATAAACACCCATCTCAAGTTCCTAGAGCCCAAAGTGACATCCTCCTATAACTAATAATGTTATGACTTGCAACTAAATACAATGCAATACAATTAATAAGGGAAAACATAAAATAATCACATTTAAATGCTATAGCCAGCATTCAATTGGCTTTTTAGTTCGACTTGAATGACATCATTTTTTTGGGCACTTGTATCAACTGATACTACTAGTTTATCAGTAATATATAAGTGTTATTTTACATGTTGTTCGGTTTACATGGTGGACAACAATAACAATATTATTATTATATTACATTTGTATGTTTTATTAGCCATAACAGCAGGACAGAAGTAGTAAAAAAAGAAAGAAAGCAGCAACGTTTCTCTGTTGATATGTCGCTTTTAGTAACAAAGTTACAAAGCTGTGATGTTAAAACCCTCTAATGCCACCAGGGAGACCCTACAGACAGCCTTTGCTGTGACAGACTGAGTGATGACCCGGCCCCGTGTGATGGATATGTGACATGGCAACTTGGGCCCTGAGGGCCTGGCTCTCGGGGTGGAGTTTAGCCATAATGGTGTGCTTAATTACCTGCACAGCCACACAGCAGGTCATTAGTCAGACTGGGACGTTAGGTCTCACCTGTCACCGAGAGATAAACAATCCTCCTACCGGATCTGGGTACCTCACAGGAGCGGGATCAGATAGTCATTGGGGGAAGTTAGGGCAGGGCAGTGCGGAGGAAGCGGCAAAGTCCAAAGAGATACATTTTAAAAAGACGAAGAGCTACATGTTTGGTTCCAAAAGTACAAGCTTTGGTTACGTAAGTTGTAGAAGTTTGGAAAGATTCCACATTTATACTCTCACTGAAAACAGGCACCAACAAAGGACTAAGGCTGGATTCAGATGTGGTTTAAGATTTAAAGATCTTTTCCTGATTAGTGCTCGTGAATTTGGAGCTAGTCAGGGCTTTTATAAGGTAAGTGCAAGGACGGACGTACAAGACAACAGATACTCTGGTGGAAACAAAACATATTACATCCTTAAATGCAGAGATAGAGGGATAGAGATGCCAACAAAGTACTGACTCAGATAAAAGACACGGTGGACGGAAACATAAAATACTGTGTTCTTGGCTCAGCAGACTGACATTCATGGACCCCTGGTGCTTCTTATGGAGCATTTTGCGGTGTGAACTTGCCTGTGCTGAAATGTGGTTGGCTAATAAACGGCAGGTAATGTAGGGAAGACGGCACTGCCTCCCCGTTCTATAATCTCCGCATGCTTCATTAAGCAGCACCTTTATTTGCAGACGCATGCTAACCTGGTGCTGTCGCTCCCTGGCTTGGTGTAGCCCTCCAACTCGCCCTCCCACACACTGTTGGCCATGGAGTTGCCAATGGCCGTCATCACCATGCTGAGCTCCACCGGCCAGTCGTCCAGGTCCAGGGAGCGCACGCGAGACAGGTGGGTGCCCAGGTTTCTGTGGATCCCGGAGCACTCGATGCACATCAAGGCGCCCAGGTTCAGACTGGCCCAGTCTGGGTCTGCGTGATAAAGGACAAGCATAATTCATATTTAGCAAATAAATGTGCCAGTGTAACTGCAGGTCAAAGAAGAATTGAATCAGTCATTTCTTTGTGAGAGCAAGCAATCAAGTTGTGTTGTGTTGGTTAGAGAGTCTGTAACTCTGATCTTTAATGCAATGACTCTATAAAACCACTCAAAATCAAATATTTATGAATGTTTTTATATGAAATCTCTGATCAAATACAGAAACTCTGTTTCCTCCTCTACAAGGGCTTCATCGAGGAGAAATGAGCTGTTGCGATGAAGAGTCATACTTACTGGGTGCATCACAGTCCACGCAGAAGCTGTTCCCCCTCACGTTTCGTGTGGACTGAATGGCCATCGCATCACTTTGGCTGCCTAACCGAGACTGTAAGACACGAGGGAGAGAACAAGTCAGGAGGAACTAATGATGGCAAGAGAAGGAGAAGGCAAACAATTAGAGCTGGACTCAAATCATAGACAACCAGCGAGGAGAGGGAGGGACGAGGTTTCTCAAAGGGAAAATATGAATATGAAAATTAGGCTGTGTCTCCCCAGTATGCTGCCACAAGCCGTGTTCTCTCTTTGATGTCTGTCAGTTCTAATAACAGATCCCCCACACTGCGGTGCACCTGTCTGACAACCTCCCACATGTGACAGCTTGAAGTGGGTGAGGAGGGGCGGGGGGGGGTGAGGGGCGCAATAAAGGTTGGAAAGAAGGGGAAAAGAGGAAGTGTAAATGAAGCAGCAGAATTGCAGGATGATGACGTCGCTGTGATTAGATGATTGTCTCTACATGATGTGTTTTCTCTCTGGTGACCTACTGTACGTACCTTGTTCTTTATGCTCTCACAAGACTGCAGGCTGGCGAAGATCTGACTCTCAATGGCTTGGACCCACAGTTCCCTCTCCTCATAAGTAGAGGCTTCGAAGTTCCACGTCTGACCCGTCAACGACACAATGATGAACTCAAAGGAATCCTCTTGCTCTGGAAAACACAAATAAATAAAGAATTAGTACTCGAGCAACACGCAGGCCGGTTGTGCAATCCGACTGTTCGAGGCGGCGACACAGCTCGGCGGTTGAGGCCCATCCACGCGCGGCTGCACGGTGAAATGAGCTTCTGTTGAACTCAGCAACGCTCAGATGATTTCTCGGCACCTCCCGTGCTCCCGTGCACTGCTGCTTTGTTCGACAATGCTTCAAAATCTCAAACAAAAAAAGACTAGGATACATTTTTAATTCCTTTCTGCTGGAGTTGAATAACTTTTAAGACCTTTACCAATCAGCAGCAACACACAATATTATCTTTTCTTAAAAGGTCCAATATTGTAGAAAGTGTCTTGTATTTTTATTATAAAGTAGCTCTAGGTGCTATAAAAATACTGTGAAAGTATAAATTCAAAACTCTCAATCCACGGAGAAATGCACACAGCCTATATTCAGACACTGCGCCTTTAAACGAGCCGTCAGGACTTCGGTAATGTTGTGAATTTTAAGCTTGGTATTTGGAGGTTTTTTGTAGAAATGCACCTTGGGAGTCGTAGTTAACTTCTTGCCAACAGTTTTTATGTACACAGGCTGATTCTTTTTACTTATTATCAAAGAACCACATATTTGTATTTTCATACAATTCCAGCTCGGATCCAAAAGTTATCGTCCCAAACTAGATTTTGAGATTCCATTGACATTTTGAAAGAAAAAGTTTGAGTACTGACAGGAACTTCTTCTAACATCTTAGTTAAATGCAAAGTATAGTATATTAGTGTCTGTTACAATGAGTCCAATCATGTTTTATCATGAAATTTGTGAATCGGCATTGTCTTTTTTTCCCCTTCTCTTTGTGTTTAACTAAGATTTATGAAAATGTCACCTGTCGTTTTCAAACAAGAGTTCTGACACGACATATGTTCCAACACATGCTGTAATGCCTCTGCTGTTCAGAGGCAATTCATTAACTCCGTACTGTACAATGTGACTCATGTAACATCTCTGGTCTGTGCACATGCTTCAGCTCATAGCCAAATGATTTGTAATTACCTAATTATGTTTATGCAAATAGTTATCTCATTTGCATAAACCATGTTTGGAGGACTGGAGGCAAGTAGACACGAGGGGATTCTTTTTTCTCCTGTGCAGCTTTATCATTAATCATTAATAGAGGTTACGTTAAAATGTGTTAAATGAACAAAATATATTTATACTTCTGATGTGCTAATGCATTGTGCATTAATGTGTTTAACTCTTAACTGCATGTCTGTAGTTATGAAATGATGGCAATCTGATGATGATGATAAGATCGTCAGACAAATCATCTAATCAAAGAAATTACAACACTTTGTATTTATAATCAATTCAGCCTCCTTGGTGCGAGATGCAGCCCGGTGCTGTTAAATGACAGATGTCTGACGGACGCCACTGATGTAGCAATCCCTGAGCTGCGGTGGAAGGCCATCTCTTCAGGGGGAAAGCAATAATCCAATTAGCTCGACACCGACTTCAATTATCTGATTTAGTTTGTGGAATCGACTACGGGTCACGAGGAATCGATAAAGCCCTGGAAGTCTCTTTATTTAGACTCACAGTGACAGAGTGTTTATGTGGGTGTGACATTTCAAAGCACTGGTGGGGATTCAAAAAGAAAAATGTCCATTTGATGAAACCAAAACGGTCAACTTAAAAAGGAGCCTTAAAGTGACAGAGAATAAAAGCAAAAAAACAAAACAAGGAAGGAATATTAAATTTGAAAGAAAACCAAAAAAACACCAGCGTGATTAATTGGAATACATACACAGCAAAAATCTATTTTCTTGTCCAATATAACTTCAGGTACAATAACTAATGCATTTGATTATAATTTGTGGCTCCCAGACTCAAATGTTGTTATACTTGTGTTTTCGTCTTTAAAAAACAAAACAAAAAAAACCCCTGAACAAAGCTAATTATTCTGTTGGCTGCCCAGGCAATAAATTGGAGGCATTAAAACACTTTCATTATGGAGATTAAAAAAGCAACGGATGGCTGGTTTCTTAAACTGATGAGTATACAAGGGAAAACAAATCCAACTCTCCGTGCATAGTAATGCACACGCGAGACATACTGTAGCCACTAAAGAGACAGAGGACAATGTGCAGCAGGAGGCTTTATGTTTGACACCGGTATTGTCATTACGTGCGGCTCCAGCACACCGATATTACTTTTTAATGCCGTCCAACAGTGTGGCAATCCAGCACCATAAGCCAAAGTCATTCTGCTCCATGTAAGCACGATGCTGAGGGTCAAAGTGGTCTTCTCAGAGACGGTAAATCTGAGCATGTACAATGTGTCGAAGGCATCACTGCTGTCTTACAGGCACCTGACATGATGAGCTTTTAAAAGGGCCATTAGCACTTTCTGTTATCACTCAATGGGTGCAGTTAGCACGTGGCTAGCAGAGGAGCGATCACCTTGTCACATTAGCGTGAGCATTAACCTCCTGACCAGATCTATCTGCGAGCCCACAGTCAACAAGTTCTCGCCAATTAGAAATAAATTAACGCAGCTCTGCCAGTGGGCGGACAACGGAGGAACACGATTTAAAGCCAACGGAGGAGCCGACTGTGAAGAATGAGCGAAAATATGACTTTCCTTTAATTAACACGGCATAATGAAAAGGAAATTAAGAGCGTAATGGCCATAGAGCTGCAAAGAGGAAGGAACAGATAAAAAGATGCACATCTCCATCCACCTCCTTTTACCTGGATCATAAGAAGTGTTCAGGAACCTCAGATGTTGTTCATCAGACACGTCAGACTGTTTCGCCAATAGTAAATTATTGCTTCAAGATACAGAAATGTACTGGCTGCAGTGGTGGGAAGTAACTATATTATCTATAGTAAGTATATTTACTCATGTACTGAACTTAAGTACAGTTTTGATGTACATTTCATGCTACTTTTTACTTCTACTCAGCTATACCGCAGAGGAAAATATTGCTCTTTTTGCACCACTACAATTGTCTGACAGCTATAATTACTTTTCAGATTAAGATTTTACAACAAACAAAACAAATGTACAATAAGCTAATAAACAACAACAGCGGTGTCTGATTGAGGTCATCACTTTACAGATGTCTATGAGCTATTAACTGTTTCAAGAGTGATTTCATCCTAAAACTTCTCAGATGGTTTAATTTAAATATAAACTGTTAAAAATAAGGACTCAAAGAGGTCAATTTATCAAATACCATCAGATTTGTCATGTGACACACTGGAGGGGGCCCCACCCTCAGGTCGAGAACCCCGGGACTAAATTTATTCAGTACCACCTCAACCAGCAGCAACAATAAAATGCTTCTTGATGCATCAATACTAACAGTTACATAATTTTAAAGAAACTTTTTAGCACATCTCTGGCAAACACAAGATTTAAAGTGGTGCTTTTGTTTGAAACTCAGTTTTACGGATCGGTCGACAGAATCGTTGTTCAACTAGGAATTTATTTAGTTGAGAACAGCAGTAATAAGTAGGGTTTTGAATTTAGGTCTTGTACCTGATGGAGTATTTTTTAATTGTTTTATTCATACTTGAGTAAAGGATCGGCTTACTTCTTCCACCACTGACTGGCTGCCATTAAAAGCAAAGTTGTTCATCAATTTTTAAAACCTCTAAAAAGGTGTTTCGTTTGACCTGAAAATCAAAAGTGGGACCTGAAAGAAAAGAGATTGACCTGAGGACGATTCCTCTACTGCTGTGTACGTGCAGCAGATGCACCGCCGGGGAACCTGTGGACCAGATTAGCACCTCGGGGGAGTTTTGGTGCTGAGCCCAGCTGTGCTTTCTGTGCGGCACAGAGCAACACGGCATCTATTCTGTCTAAGCCTCTCTAAGACCTCTGGAGACCGGTGTGACGAACCCTTAGAGAGGACTTAGCCAACACTCCTCAGCCTTGAGGACTCCCATTTTTTTTCTCCATCCATTTGTGTGAACACTTTGGCTGAAATGATGACGAGGTGCACAAGGTGAGCTATTGTTTTGGTGTGCGGGACGTGTTGTGTTGTGTTGTGTCGTATGCGTGCACCAGGCAGTCACTTAAAGAAGTGCTCGCCGTTCCCGTGAATTAACGAGCAGTTGGGAAGAACAGGCCAAGGCGGTGCCATCTGTAAATGTCACAGGCACTGCTTGCTCATTTTACACATCATTAAAGCCAATATTCCTAACCTGTATCAGAGCAATCAGGAGCAGGCCATTACTGCGACAGGGGCCCCAGGGGAACCACGACCAAACTCAGAAAGAGGAGGACAGGGAGGGCGAGAGAGAGATAGAGCACACGCTTTATCTATCCGACACACACACATGCACTCACGCTCGCGTGTACACACATACTTCTACGTGCACACTCTCAAACAAACAAGGAGCACACCTTCCAACAATAAACAAACACATGAAATCAGCACCAATACCACTACCACGCTAATAGCTAGTGCATTTAACAACAGAGCAGAATGAAAACAGGGCCAATTATACATGTATCTGTGGGCAGTGTGTACGGAGCCCAAATGAGAATCTTGTTATTCCTTTCCCTCCATACTGTGGCGCTCAGAAAGCTAAGCCATTACAAGAGTGGAGGCTCCAGGGACAGCTTTGGGAAATGAGAGCGAGTCGGGGAGTGACAAAACAAAGTATTGAGATAAACACCCACCATTAGCACAGGCAGTTAAACCTCCATTTCCTAATCCTCAGCTGGACTCCAGAGGATATTAACCCTTAGTTTCCCAAGGTGCAGGACAATAGCAGAGTGGATTAAGTTGGACTTACAATATTTTACTTAACGTCGTTTTTTGATCAACTATCGATGCGTTTTAATTTGTAGTTTGGCCACAGAAAGACCACGACTGCTTGTTCCAGTCAATCTGTGGACGAGTCCAGAACAACGAGACTTGTCTTCTCATCTAAACCTGCAGTATTTATGGAGTGTAGGACAGCCAAAGGTTGTGAAAGAAAACCAAGAGCAGACACAGATTAATAAAAGTCATTAATAACAAATTAAAGATGAAAGAAAATCTGATAACTGGTTACATTAGCAGCGTTGTTAGAGGTACTAGATTCATATTCAGAGCATATCGATTGCCTCTACACGGCTCTCACGACGGCTCAGCTGTCGGCTTGCAGCTAACAGCGCTAACAGTGTAAACAACGGCAACAGTACCAACAGTGTTTACCTGGGGGGGAGAGGGAGAGCAATGAGATGTGTCACATGGGTTATACCACTGCCCCGCCCTCTTTGGGAGACTAGCGGCAGGTCCTGAGTCTATTAGCTCCAATGGGAGAAGTGAACATGAACACTGACTATGGAGTAAAAGAATCGGTCATAATCTAAGTAAATTTTGGAAGTATTTATTAAATACATCATTCAAATATAACCCAATGTACTTTCATCCAGCCCGGCTATGTCAACGAAGCAAAGAGAAGCTCCCACAGGCACCCACATTACTCTACTATATACACAGCTATCTTTACATAGCTAATAAGCTGTTTGATGCTTTATTAATAATACTGAATGTGGCAAAGAGAACCTTTGAGGAACTAACTGATCTCTACACCTTTAAGCCTGTAGTCTTGTTAGTTCAGACGGTTCAACATCACCGCAAACTTATTACTTTGAAGAACATAGAATGGCCAGTTGTGATTCTTGCAGCTAATTCTTCACTGTCCAGTTACTAGTGACCATGCCATTGATCCCAGTTTACCCACATTATTAAGTTAAACACATGTAATATATGCATGTATCTATAGTCAGCAAACATTCCACCAGTGTTCACTTTACTACACGAATGCATTTAAGTCAAGATCTTGTTCCGATTGAGCAGATATAGAGTCTAGATTTCCTTCTTTCAAGAGGGCAGGTTGCATCCATCCCTTTAGGATTCAGTCCACTTTCTTGACGCATGAAAAAATAAACATCCTATCTTGTGCTAATCGCTAATACAACCCAGTGGAAGAGTCCTTTCAATCAATTTAGATTCAATCAATTCAAAATGCAAAATAAAACTACTTAATTAAAATCCATTGTTGAAACTTTCATTAAATAAAGAGGTTATTAACCAATTCAAGATTAAATAAAAAAATGTAGTTTACCAAAATAAATTGCCCCCAGTCCCTCTGTTGCAAACACAATGCTCTGCAGCACATTACAGTCCATTATAGCTTAAGAGGGGGCATATCATGCAGTGCCAGTAATGCTTCCTTCAGTCCGTTATCCTCTTTTAGGACTGAAGGCTAAAAGTAAAGTTTGAACCGGTTTGGTTTGATTTGTTGTCCGTCTAGCTTGACGTGGATGTAAACAAGCACTTTAACGCCTTCTTTACATTAAAAGCATTCAGGCAAACACGTATAGCGAAAGTAAATATCGTCATCCTGTAAACCTGGAACAATCGGGAGCCTCTCGTCACAAGTCCCCTCCGTTCCTGCACCTCCCTTTCTGCTCACATTGGACAAACTAAAACCCCCCAAAACAATGAGCATTTGATACACTTTCTTTAAAAGAGAAATACATTAATGATGCTCGCTGACAGTCTGCATTAATCAGAGGGGGCTCCCCCCGAACACAACTCTTTATCGGCCATCGATTTTCCAGTGGGTTTATGGCGAGCGACACACCGAGAGAGCTCGTCGCTGCAGCGGCTGCTGGGAAACACATTACGGGGCTGTCAGTTGTCTCGCCATGCATCCTGCATCATTCTTTAAGCACATGAGAAGTTCATTACACCACACAGCTCTGACAGTGCATAGGATATTAGGGACTGTGTCCATTGTGCATATCTTTGGTGGAAGTGTAGCACCGTAGACATAACAGGGAATTCAAACACAAACCAAATACAGCTTTACATTGATTTGAAATAAATGCATTTTTAAATCTAACGCACAGGTTCAAATGTGATTTTTAAGCTCTTGGCTCGCCTAAAGCCTATTTGAACGTTTGCAGAGAATATATGTCTGTGCAATTACTGTCAGTCATTTATCCTTTTGTGATCAGAGTGACGAATTTGAGTTGATAAAATATGTATAAGATTTTCTCCCACTTCAGCAGCCATGTAGAAGAGTACCGCGGTACAATATTTGGAAATGATGGTGCAGCAACAGTTTCTCCAGGCTCCCTCCTACATCCTACATGTCCAATGTTGACCAAAATGATTTCTCACCTTAAGACGTGCGCGCTGTTTTGATTTATGACGCTTCACAGCTACTAAAATTCAATTTCAGCCTGCATTGCACGCTTCTGATTGCCCCGTAAATGAGATAAACTGATAGCAATTTATTCAAGGATCCCACCTCTCCTCTGCTTTTCCTCTCCTCTCCTCTCTCCTCTGTTCTTTCAACAGGAGACACAACTCACATCCCAGACTTGGGTGAATCCAATATTTAAGATGATACGTCTGTATTCCAGAGCATTCAGCAGAACAGACAAGGTGATGCTAATGGAAAACCTTGCAGAGAACAATGAATGAGATAGAAAACAATGTGCGTGTTTGATGACGTGAGGAACATTCAGAATCTGCCTCCTCCTGTCTGATTACTCTTAGATTTCCTCCTCCTGGGAAGTCCAGGAGTCATCCGACATCAGCTACTCCTGTGTGGGGCGCTCATCGAGGAGATTTGATGATGTTTGATAATGCCAGCCATTAAGGAGCTAGGTCCCATTAAGAGCCAAGTAATGTCAAATAAAACAGAAGCAATGGACTCTACACTTGGAAACTATGCTGCTAGCTGCTTCTGTGCATACAACTGCCAAATGTAAAAGAAAATGATCAGATCTGAGTTTCACTTCCACCAGTATGGTGACGTGACCACATAGCACTCCAACAACAAAAACAGCACCACTTATCGCACAGCACTTATCTGCGAGATGCTGATGATGTTCCCTCTGAACAACAATGTGGTCAAGAGCCCCATTCAGAGTTTCAAGAGAAGCTGTCAGAGACCATGATAAAAAAGTATAATGATTATAAATGCCAAGCCCCATTTAGGAGGCGTCAATGCCATTGTTGTTGTTATCCAGCGTATCAATCTTGTTGATTGATCATCCCGCTCCGGTGACATCGGTTTTATGGCCTCTGAAATGCGTCCCAGTGTTTTCACAATGCCATCCAATTAGGGTACTCCATTCATCATTGGTCCGGAGAATCATTATTAATTGGGTGGAGAGCCGACTGCCACTCCCCTGCTGAGGAGGGCCACGGCTTCTGGAGATCAGGCCTCTCAGACTACGCTAAAATAAAAATGGGGGCTGAGAGGGTGCACTGTGCAGGAGGGGGGGCACACAGAGATACCAAACTACACACCTTTATGTGCCTCATATCCCTATTCAATCACAATGTAGAAGCTCTTTTAAAATCAAAGTGGATCTTTACTTCTATAACAAACTGCATAGGAAAAAGTAAGAAAGTTTCTGTTACGTGTTTTTTTAACAGTTTTTCCATTCCTAACTTAGTATCTGCAGTTAATTTGTATTAACTTGACCCGCCAGATGGTTCATTACACAGAACCATCTGAGAAGCTGCCATTGGAAACTGTTTGGAAAACGGCAGGCACTTTAAAAAAAAGAAAGAAAACTTGGCAAGTGATTGGATGAACAGTCTGTCAATCAAACTATCGCCGAAGAGCGAAAACACACTCTCTGCCTGCTTATGACAGTCTACCACTTCCTTTAACCTGCCAGTTAGGAGCTTCCCTGGTAGGGTGTCAATGCTCAGGTTTTGCACTTTTCCCCAAATCCCACCCACCTCTGTGTAAGCACACAGTCCCACCAATAGGACTCCCTCGTGCGTCTCTTAGGATGTGATCCCTCTCTGGCTTCCCAACAGCAAAAAAGAGCCGATTGTGTTGGTTGGTAAGCACCACCAATTTTGCACACTGAGAAAGTGGCTGAAACATCTGTGGGTTTTACTCCTTTGTGCTGCACATAGAAACTAAATGAATTATTAGTTATTATATTATTAATTATCGGGTAAGTGAACTCAGGTCTCTACAGGTTTCCATCCAAATTTAGTGAAAATTTCCAGAAAATCAGCAACAGAAAATGCAAATTAAGTGCACGTTTACATCCACCTCGGCTATGCGAGCATTAGGAGTTGGTTCTTCAAGATAAATAGCTGGTGGCTCTAATTTCTCACTCAGGTGCCATTAAATCATTGCAGAAGAAGAGCGCGTAACCAGATGAAAGAGCGGTGGTCAAACCTCAAACGGCGGAAAACAATACAGAAAATGTGATGGAAATATGACATCTTTATACTTTCAGTCTCTGTAGCAATGTGATCGTGCTGTACCTTCGTTGCCTGCAGATAAGCCGTCTGGCTTCGTGATGCCCGTGCTCTTTTTCCGTCTGTGTTTCTTGCGGTTGGCGTGTGGCGAAGGAGGCGGCTCAAGTTTAGGACTCGTGGCGCTGCCCACAAAGGAACTCGCAGGATCACTCATCCCATTGGCTGGAAAAACACAGAGAGGGAAAAACTATTATTATTCTGTGTGTTAAAGATTTTTCTTTCAGTTTCATAATCACTGCCCATGTAGGTAAGTTTGAGTTTCACTGTCACAGCTTCAGCTTATAGACAGTTACTACATACTAACTCCACAAAACACACCCAACAATTTGAAGTCAAGTAGTTATACAAAACTTTCAATGCACCTGCCCCATTGGGGGGTCATCGTGACAATGGAAGTTTTCAACACTTTATTAAGGCTGATTTACCAGCATGTAGAAAACTACGCTCAAAAACCCTTTAAGAAGATTTTATAATGGACGTAATGTGCAGTCACAAAGATGACATCTTGGATTCAACTATTATACTTCCAAGAGTTTTTGAAACTAGTTAAGAAACTATATGGAATTTGACAAATACAGTAGACAAAAGCTTTTGTCTAACTCAAAATGAAGGGAAACAATGAAATGAAGAAAATTAATATTAATATTTATTGCCATGATGAACCATAATATAAAGATAATGAACTGCAGAAGATGGATGAAGAGCATCCAAGAGAGTCCAATTTAAAAATAAAAATGATTTGATGAAATATCAACTAGAAATTGCTGCGGCAGAGTGCCGTAGCATCACGCTGGCTCTTTTTTGTGCCTAATGAGGACTGTTGATTAGTCCACTATTAATTGTCTTCATTGCTCTCAGCTGAAGCTGCAAGACCAGTATAAAGACAGAAATGTAAGACAAAAAAAAAGTATAAAATGGAGACAGATTTGAAAAATGGGAAACCGTGCCTTTCAAAATAAACTAAGCTGGCAGCTTCAATTTAACTTATTCAAGTCATAAAATGTATGATTATGTATCGAATGTAGGAACGCATGAATCATTGTGAAATGACACTGAGCTATGAATAATGAATGACATTAGGCGCTTTATTGAAAGCATCATGCAAAGTAGAGGCATTCTCGTCACATCCTCAAAATGTGTCCACGAGCGGTGAGAGTTAGAGGCGCCTGTGATCGCTGCAAAAGTAACCGCGTGGCTCCGGCTTTAGATAGAGTGAAGGACAGGTAAGGGGCTATCCGTGAACAAATGGTTACCCAAGTTAGCCCGCGGCAAAGCTCTCTATATGACTGTCAGAGTGACAGGGGGCTAAGAGCCGGCTTTGTTTCTTGTAAGTGATTTTATAAATGTGATATTAACCTGTGCTACCGTTGGGCAAAGGGATCGGAGGGATGGGCCGATAGGAGGGGGTTGTCAGCTTGCCATCTTTCTGATTTCCTGACATTTGACATCACTTTCCCTTCTTTCCCCCTCCGGATGCCATTATGAATCTGGGAGCGGGGGCCAGGGCCCTTGGGGAAGCAGGGAGGGAGGGCCGGTAGATGGGCCCCATATTGCTCTCCCCTTTACCACCCTGTGTGGTGCTGGCAGCCTCCTCCATTGTCTCCCATCAAAAGCTCATTGTAGTGTGGCAAACTCCATTCATTTCCCTGTGCACCGTCCCAGCCCCAGGGGTGGAGTGCAGGAGGACAAGGGGCTCAGGGATTATTGCTGTTGTCGTTGCCAGTTGCACATGCTATAATGTGCGGCACTGTGCCATTAGCCAGTGTACAACATTAGGCCTAATTCGGTCATTACCTTTGGGGAGATGGGGCTGTCTTGGAGGAGTAAGATGGGCTCAGCGGGGGATTGAAGATGCTAACGTCGGGGGAGAGGGGAGCTCTCGGCCGGGGGATGCATTGTTTGAGCACGGGCAAAACATAGGAGGCACCTGAGACACACAATGTTACGTCTGCACTCCACTTAGAGATTAATCTTGATGAGAGCCGATGTATACAAACAACGATGTCATTACTAGGGGGGAAAAAAAACGTTCATAACTACTGGTATCTTTAATTTGATATAGAATAAGTGACCATCCTAAGAAGTAGTAATAAGCATAAATAGTGAAGTGCTACTTGGAAAATAACAACATTGATTCTTCGCCATCCCATTAATAAACATAACATTGGTGCTTGTGCTGGACTACATACATTAAGTAAGCTCTCTGGTGTTTTGAATGGCAGCACGCAGCCACACATGTAGCAGCTCCTCGTCGAGGCGTCTGTTTCAATTTCCCTGCTCTCTTACAACAGCCCCCCTGAGACGAGTCATTAGCTGGCTCAGACAGCTGGGGGCACAGGGGTCCTCCATGTGCCCCCCATTCCCCCTCCTCCTCCTCCCACCCTCTGCTTCCTCCTCCCTCTCCATCCCAGCGTCTGTCCCGCCGGCACAGCTCCGTATGGCGGGTGGAAGACTCGAGCTCCGACCTGCCTCCAACGTGACAGCCAGCATTTGTTTAATGTCGCTTGAGGTTAAAGGGGAGGGCTGCCCCCCGGGGGCCCCAACCGTGTCATAAACACCTCTAATTATCAATTTCTGCCCCTAATGTTGTGGAAAATGACCCTGGCCCTGCTCATCCGGCACCCCCTGCACCTGAAACATATACGGGGTAATGCACCTCCCTTTGTTTGCACCAATAAGGCTTTAAGAAGTCTGCACCAAGAAAGGTATAGGAGCAGAGAATGGATCAAACCGCAGTACACTTCACTGAGCAACAATATCAAAGCACCTGAAAGCTAATGGTTTTATATAATGTAAAGGCTCCTGCCTTTAAGCGGTTCTCAGCTCTAAACTGTGCATGACTGGTAGATTATAGTTCTTAAATTGAGAATTATGAAGTTAGAACCAGACTGATTCCACAAGCAGAGTATTCACGGCGGCATTATTAGCTAGCTGTTAGTGTGTATGAGGGCCATCAGGACCAAGCTGGGTAATGAAGCACACTGGGGATCAGGAGTCTCTTTCCCACTCAGCCAATATCACCTGGGCAGCCGAATAGGTATCAGTCTAACCTGTGATTACAGCGTATTACACTCCCACTATGGAGATGACAGTTTAAACACGCTCCAGGTTGAAGACTATGGGTGAGACAAAGAGGGGGCCGCTAACAGCTTCCTGCCTTTACCAATGCCACACTGAGAATGAATGAGAATGAAAAAAGGGTGAGAGAGAGAGAGGCAGAGAAGGGGGATGTAGAGGAGAGTGGGGGAGTCATTTCATTGTTATTCAAGAGGCTCCGGGTGAGGAGCACTATGATTCCGCCAGGCCCCTTGACATGGCAGCCCTGCCTGTCCTCAATCAAAGCCAACGGCTGCAATTAATGGCAAAAATTAGAAACAATCACTGCCTCCCCCTTATTATCCTCAATTAGAGCGTACTAATCAAGGCCTGATCGCGCTCTGCTGCTCTCTCCAAACTAAATGTCAAACTTCATTACGGCCTAGCGTAGAAATCAAACGCCCCACATGCTATCACCCTCACATCGGGAGGCCAAGGTATAAAACACAGTGCCACAGGAAAAGGCTATCCGTGCATTAACTACCTGTGTCCTGATATGCGAAGTTGGAGGAGAAATAGCACTTATATATAAATTACCACATAGCAGAGCAGGCAGTCGCAGCATTAAAGTCATGGAGGACGAAAAGACAGAAAGAAAAAAAAGGCAGCGGTGAAAACTTTTCATGAAGGGCTGTGCGATATGGACGAATGTAATATTGCGATACTTAAGAATTATCAACATGCAACTTAGTATTAAAGCTCACAAGGTAAAAAGTTAAAATATTGCTCTTCTCATTAGTGCTGCGACTAACAATTAATTTCAAGGACAAATCTCCTGATTACTTTCTTAATTAATGTGATTTTTCTATAAAATGCAGTAAAAAAAGTAAAGAATTATGGTTTCCCAGTTCCTAAAATGGCATTTTCCAATTGCTTATTTTGTCAGACAAACAATCTAAAACACACACAAGATTTTCAATTTACGATCATATTTGACAAAGAAACGCAACAAAATCCTCACGTTTGAGAAGCTGAAAAAATGATAATAGAAGATATTCCTTTATTAAATTACATTTTGGACAGATTTGTAGCATAATTTCACTTGTTATATATTTTTGGCCATGAGATCAGTGAACCAATACATCTCTCTTCTACCAACAAGAATATATTGAATTAATTGTTGAACCCGTGGCGAGCACCGATCTACGGTAATCTCGTGCCTTTGGAGACGTGACATTACTCACACTTTGACCATGACTTAAGTTGTTGTCATCAGCGAGCCCGTCACGTTGCTCAGACGACTGTTGGAGCCTCTTGCTTTTAATTCAGGCTCAAAGATTGAGGCGTACGAAGGCGAGCGGGATCTAAACAAGCACCCGGCGCATTAAGAATGGGGGTCTTTATGAATGCAAGCAATAGAAAAAAATTGGGCCGGGATTTAATCAAAAATCTGCGCTCAATATTCAAGAGGCGCTACTACCTCTGCTTCTGCCTTTGCTCAATAGGTTTACAAATGAGGACATTCTTTAAATAATATGGAAATGGTTACCTGGCTAAGACGCATTCATTCTCCAGTGAATCATCAATCTGCTGTTTTTGCATCTCAGAATCACATTTTATGTTAACCTGCAACCTTCACCAAGGATAATGGAGTGATTGGGCCGGGTTCAAGTCAATGCAAATGGCAAAACATGAGCACGCTTCACTGTGGAACTCCCTCTATTGACATTAGGATGAAAGATAAGAGGGCCGCATTTCAATCAAGCTTTTGTTTTCTGATAGTCCAGTCACACTTTACACTACAGACGCATTCTGCTGCCGCGATTCAGATTCTTAAGTTGTGACATGAAAACAAGATATTCTCGAGAAAGTTTTTCAGCCACAGAGATGTTGCTCCTGGAGTACATTACGAGCCTTTAAACTGTCTGCACTGACTATGCACTGATTACAGAGACACTCCTTCCCAAGGACGAGCAACATATCTATCATTTGACGCAATGTTTCTGCTATTATTTTCAGCTCATTTGCCTCATTTGAGCTCATTTGTGGTTACCTTAAGAGTAGCATGAAAATAATTGAAGAAAACAGAATAAAGGAGCAAAGTGTGGATCTGATTTAGCTGAAGACTGGATGCTGGTTAATGAGCTATGTTAATATCGAGGGCTTCTCAGTTTACCAAACATGAAAATGGGAAAATTCCAGGCCTCCTTATTTCCTCAACACAACGTTTAGGAATTATTTGTCCTCTGCAGAAGCGTCAAACGCCGAACGTCACATTCACAAACATCCAGTATGAAGCCTTTATTTTTTCCTCCTCCCACACACACGCTGTGGAAAAAAAACTCACATGCAAACAGCAACCCACTCACACACAAGAAAAATAAAAAGAATCAGCGAGAACGCACGCACATACACAACACACACTCATTTATTTGAGGACCCCACGAATCTAAGTAATTCTGCTTTGGGCATGCTGCTGATGGGAGACGGGGGTAGGGGGTGATGGAAGTGCCTGCGTCCAGGCAGAATTGATCGTTTGGCAGCTCCAAATGAGAGACAGGCTTGTCTGCGGAACCACGAGGGCCGTGCAGTTGGACTCCAGCAGCGCTCGTAAAGTGCGCTCTTTAAACTGCCGGGGCCCCTGGGAGCCCATGGGGAGGGGGGGAGCCGCCGCCGCGCTAATGAGAACTACCAGAGTGCAAACATGCATGGAAATGACTGTTATTCTGTTGATGTGCATTTAAGTGCTTTTTTACTGCCAACCACAAAGAGAGGGAAATAACTGGTGATGAATGGTACCCCCAAAAAGCATTCATTTTCCTCTTCGGAAGAAAAGAGAGGAAAACAGAGGAAGGAGTGGGGGCATAAGAGTAAGATGGAAGGTAAAGACAGGGTGGGTGTAGACATGCATGGTGAATATATTATCTCACTTCACTCAAGTACAGTGACAAGGTGCAATGTGACGCAGAGGCAGCGAGTGGAGATGCATTGAAGTTAACCTTCACTGTTCCTCTCCTCTGAACGCGCCGCCTCGATCACAGAGCAGCAGACACAAAGGTCACAGCGATCACAGCCCTGATCACCTCATTATAAAAAAAAAAAAGAGGATCGCTCCACCTGTGTAACACACTCGGGGAAAATGGCGTCTCCACGTCACACCGCACCTCGAGATCGGGTCCATTCATTTTTTTGGGTTACATGAACACTTCGGTTGCACAATGCATGGCAAGACTTTTGGAGGAGATTCAGGGGGATGTGAATGTAGAAGGTGGATGTCTTACGGGCTCCGCTGCTCGTACTGGTGTTGATGGCTTCATTCCACTGGTCGGCGCTGGACACAGAGAAGGAGCGTTGGTGCATGCCGTCTTTGCTGCCACTAAACAACGACGCGCCCGTCTGGAGGGACGAACTGCTGTTGGAGTGAGGAGCACCTGGAAAATAAGACACAGGCAGAAGAAAACGTATTAGTTTTTTCTTTAAACCAATAAAAGTCTGTAAAGAAGTTATAATGATGCAATTGAGTTCACAGTTTTTCGTAGTCTCTACAGCAATGCAAAGCTGCTGCCTCCATATTTGTGCACATCCCTCTGTCAACTACCCCGCTCACACACACACACACACGAAACCCGTCTCCCTCCGCCTCTGCCTCTAATTAGCCCTTAATTAACAAGATACACTCTGAACGCTAATTATCTCGCCTCATCCCTCTGACTGCCACATCGATCTCCACTGGCGTCAGCAGGCGTTCTCTCCCTAACTTCCAATCAGGCGAGCCACAGACGCCTGGCTCTCTTTACTAATTCATGGGCTAGGCTGCGCCATGTGGGGTCCTTCCCTCCTGTTCGCGAGCAGTCGCTACGACACCTCCTAACTACTAATGACTAAGAAGTCATCGATACACTTCCAGTCATGAGCGGGGAATCAGATTAACTGCTTCAGAGTTACAATGCATCAAACGGGAGCAGTACTGTGTCATGTGATACAATCATTTGTTAAAAGAAGTGCGATTTTATTCTGTGAAATTAATTAACGCTACACTAATAAGAACATATTTTGTATGACCTACAAGAAAGAGGTTGGTGGGTTTATCAATAAAATTAGTCGTCAGAAAAAGTCGTCAGAAAAAGTAATTGTACCCTAAAAGTTGTCACAAATACTCCTTTACAGGCTGCACAACTAATACAATTAAATAGGCATTGAAAGGTTTAAATTTGTCGATTTGGAAAACAAGCCATATCTCTGATTTTCCCAATGACGCGTTCTCATCTCGCAGGTATCACACGTCAGGACCTTTTATTAAATAATTACTAGAAAATATCAGTTTCTGATTGAGGTGACAATAACAGAAAATATATAGTGTGTAAGTCGCGTGTAAAGTAAACTAAGCGGCACGGGTGCTTGTTAGGATAATATGTCCTACTCATTATCTAGAGTAATAAGTGTATCAAATTCACATAATCATGTCTAATTAGTATCAGTAATTATCTTGTTGGGCCCAGGAATATTAATCTTCAGGTCCCAGAGGGGAGGGAGCAGAATCGCAGCAAGAATGGGAGAGAGAGCGAGGGAATCACGCTGAGGAGCACTGACTAAATTAGCATGCTGAAATCAGAGCAGAGGAGGAGGAGGAGGAGGAGGGGGGAGGGAGAGAGGAGGAGGGGGAGAGGAGGAGGGGGAGAGAGTAGGGCTACTGAAAAGAAAATGTGAAACTTTGTTTTTAAAAAAGTGAGGGATGAATGACACATTAAATCAGCTGATACCTTCTAGAAAAACAGGCTTTTGGATGCTTTTATCATTACTGAATAAAAAAATTAATTAAAAAAATTCATAAAAAACACATCAGTACCGTTATTTATAGCAAAAACCTCGTTTATACAGATTAATGTTCAATCATTGTTTAGACATAATTATTTTCTGCTACTAAAAGAGCAACACTTCTTTATTTCTGAAGCGTGACGTTTGACTCTTTGACCCCTTTAAAAGGAAAACAGGTAAAAAAAATAATAATAAAAAAAAACCTGTTAGATACAAGGCAAGTTACATTGATATTTAAAATTCAACAATCACGTCTAATTGTCAAATTGGATGCTAATGATTAATGAATTATACATGGCTGTATCCATTAGTCCCCAGAGGCCACTCCTGCATAAAGGGGAGGATAATGTAATTACAGTGGAGAAATAATCAGCTTGTGGCATTAAAAGAGCACTGTACTCTGAGCTCCAGCCAGGCCTGACTCCAGACCTGCAGCTTCAGTGGAGGCTCTCTGGTGGACGGACAGCGACGATGGACCCGACTACTGCTAACCAACGTCCAAAGGATTCGATTTCATTCTGAACTTTGCTAACTAATAGCATAATATACTAACGAATCATTTAAAAAAAAAAACTATGATGCAAGAGAACATTTGAGGAGTAGAAAAGCAAGACTGAAAACATTAGTTTTGTCTCCATTGATGAAATGTATCAGCATTTATTTTTGCAATAAAATTCAGCAGCGATCGAGACATTTAGTGTGAAATTGCATGACACGTAGACAGTGGTAGAAAATAAAGTACATTTACACAATTAATGTACGTAAATGTAAATATAAGGGTACTTTACTTGAGTTTTTCTTCTATACTTTTACTCCATTCTACCTGAGACTTGTTCTTTACCTTTATTTTACAGCTTTAGGTACTTTGTGAATTCATATTTTGCATATTTTTTTAATAACATCCAATTTGATGGATTGAACTACCCAACAACATAAAGTAGTAACAAAATTGCTCCACCTCAGCTAACTGCAACATTAAAATTCTTTAACAAGTTTATGCATCAGTAACAATAATCTCATATTTAATTACATAACACTGACAGCCGCCATTCTGCTGCATAATAAGTACTTTTGATACTTTCTTTAACACTTTTCTACATTTTGATGACGGACTTTAGCTTTTAATAAAAATGAGTATTTTTATTTTTTAGTATCTGAATCCTACTTCAACCACTGCAAAGAAATTTTGTAATTAAAAACAACAAGTCTCCTTCAGCACAATTCTTATTAAAAACAACAATGACTCCTTGAATACAAAGCGTTATGAATATGTCTTGCTGACTGTATCGTCACGTGTAAAACAGAAGCCATGTAGTGTGTTCTGCAGGCGATCCAGGGCCGCGGTGTTAAGTAGAGGCGATGGATTAGCGGGGAGCAGCGCTGCCTTGCTTCTCATTTCTCTCTAGGCCGGGCCGTCAGTGGGTTGATGAGCCGTGACGAGGCCTGACCCCTCCGTGGAGTTGTTGCCATTATGTACAAGTAGTGGGATAATGAAGCATTCATGCTAATGTGGGCCGGGCAGCACATCATCTGCGGCTGTGTGTAATCCACCACCACCACCATCATCCTGACCAGCGCTCAGACGCTCCACCCCCCCACTGCTGCTGCCAGTCCCCACTCGAGTCACTCAAATCTGTGCATCATATATTGTCTTTATACAAAAACTGTATGCAGTGAACCAACTTCAAGATTCTACTTTAACCCTTGTGTACGACAATACCATCCTATTGTCTTTACTTGTTTAGATATCTCTCTTTTTAGGACAAATCTAAAATTTATGAAAATGATATGGTTTCTTATCGTCAGAGGATGCTTGTAGACATTTCCAGCACTGTTACTATGAATTTGATGATACTTTGTCATAAGTAAATAAAATAAAAAGAGTGTCTATTTGCACCAAGGGGAGAATCTCACACAGCAGCTACTCGGATTATTTACACCCGGCCAAGTTGAATGCTTATACTTATTTTAGCAAAAGTTAGCAAGCCGGAATATTTAGATTTAGTAGTCGTAGGTTTAGGAAACAGCGACAAAGTATGTGTAGGGAGTAGGTTGATGTGGATGGATCAGTCAAATTCAGGACTTTTACCCAGGAGACTGGGGTTGTTTTTACACTGAGTTGACAGTATGTTGTGTGCCCGGATCAGGTGCAAATAGCATCGTTGGCTATGGATACCTGGGTGCTAATTGCATCTGCCTTAAAGGTAATTGAAGACAAAAAATATTCCTAATAAATAAAAGTGCTGGATGACTCCTGCAAGAGGCCAGATTGCACCAGTGTCTCATGTTGGCAGGGTCTGCTGGTCGGTGAGTATGTGGCTACTGGTTCTACTGGGCTAAAGATTAGAGCTGGAGACTAACTGTGGATCAGCTACAACACTTTCCTAAAAATCTCCACCTTTTCCACATGCATCTCTCTCCACCACAGGATTGATTCAAAGTGACTGGGCCCATTAATACTTTGATACAATGTATCTGTCGCCGGTGACACGGCAGGATGCGTGTTAACAGGGAGGATCATATTTAAAATGGTTCCGCTCAGCACCCAGCAAAGGAATTAAACCTGGCCGCTTGGCAAACTCGTGGGCGCATGCGTTCCTCTCATTTACTCTCTGTCTTCTCAGCCTCTCCTCTTCATCTTCCCATCTCCCCCATCCACTCCGCCCCTCCTTCTCCACGTCGCTATCCCTCTTCTCCCAGTGATTATAAAGGTCTTTAGATCTAAGGAATGAATGAATTACCAAAGGCACAGACAAGGCTTGTGATTTGGGCGCCGTGAATGAAAAATTACCCCTTTGTTCCCTTCATCAATTGCACGTCTAATGAAATCAAAATCCCGATCGCATAATCAGAAGATGGTCCTCCACCCAGAGAGAGACCTGATGTGATTTGTAACCTTTCTTTTCCTAAGTGGAGATTAAGGCAAATCTCCCACACATTGTTCCCTGATGCACAAATGGATGGCAACTGACAATCTTGGGAATTTGTCATTGAGATCGAAGAAATGAACAACAAAGAAAACAGACCAGTTGGTGCCGTTTTGCCAGAAAAACCCGGCTCATCTGGCCTGTTTTTCAAGCCCCTTTGTGTGCCCCCAACGACTCCCCTCAACCCAGCGCTCAAGGTTAACAGATCCAGCATCCTCCGCTCTGTAAACTCTTACATCTTCCCACTTTTTTGACTGATAAACCCGTAGAGCAGGTTTAACGGTAACCTGCCTGGACAGTGCTAATGGTCCCTGCCGACCCGTCTTTTGGCACCGTACCCACTCTGAGCCAGTTAGCTTTAGCCTGAGAGATGGAAACACTGTGCCCATTTCACAGCCGATGAAGGACCCCGCCTCCCTCCGGGCCTCACTTTGCTAATTAGTATTAATTACTCTTAATCCTAACCCCTAAATCCAATCACTGGCTTCCCCTCTGTAAACCTGCCAGCCTCTCTCCCCAGCCTCCGGTGGCACCGCTCGCTGGGAGAGGAGCTCTATTTTTAAACTTGAAAGGTGGGAACGCTGGCACGATGCTCAGGACCAAACGGGTTTTTGTTACGGTGACCCCTACCTCTACCATAGAGGATGAAATACAACTAGGTCAGTGTCATGGTGGCGTAACAGTCCAAAATAAACAACTCTCCATTTTTTTCATTATATTTCCTTAAACACAGCCATTATGTTTAAACACAATTTTCAATTCCCTGTTTAATAATTTTGAGAATGAATAGATTTCTTGTAGGCGCTCATTAAGTAATCATTGTGCATACTATGAGGCAGCTAATTTGCATGACTGAAACATACGGAAAGCAGATAATTAACCTGTTGGGACTCATTTTTATGATTAATCACAAACGTGAGGACGTAGAGAATAAGTACAGTAATAAAAGACTCATTTGATAAACCATTACACATTATACCTGTGATTTCTTTTCTCTTTAGCGTGGCACGTGAAACACGAGACATTACTCTCTACCTACCATGTCAATCCTTTCATATTTACCAAAATAATTGAATATTATTATGTAGTAGTAATGTCCATACCACAACAAATAGGGAAAAAGAGAAATAAGAGCTTTGCGTACACGGAGTACTTCTAAACTGGAGGTACTGCGATTTAAAAGATGAACAATTAGTCAAAAAAGTGTTAAAAATATACAATCCGTGATATTATATTAACACTGATAAGAGGCTCACGGAAAGGTATTTGTTTATCGTTTTTGACGACACTGATTGAAAGCCTGAAGTCAAACTGTTGTTTTCACATATTGAAGTCTTTGGCCCATTGTATGTTGTCATGAGCCTCATGAAGCACTGAGCCAAACACGTTTCTCTTATCAGAGTTTGAAGATCCTTCATCATATACAGTACGTCATGTGACGTCACACTTGTTGAGCTAGACTAAAGTTGAAGCTAAAACAGCATAAAAATGTACCGATCATCACTCAGTTAATTATTTTCCAGAATGCATGAAATAAATATCTTGAATTGTACATTAATCCGTTTCTTCATTATGACCCTTTACTGTTATTGCCCGTACTATGAGGACAGGAAGCGGTACCTGTGTTTCCGATGCCCAGCTGCAAGGTGCTGCGGTCCTTGGTCAGCCCGTTGGTTTTGGGACTAGCAGTGGGGGCGACGGTGGCCACCGCTCTGGGGGGTCGCTTCCCAGGAACCTTGACTGTCGTCCTCAGCAGGTCTATCTCTTTCCCGTGCACATTCTGCATGTAGTCCTGCACAAAGTGGGGAAAAAAAGACAAATGTTGTCAATGGCCTGCTCTCCAAAAAAAAAAAAAAGTCCCAATATTTCCATTCATGTCCCTCAATTCAGGGATCTGATTACACACAGCGGACCAACAAGAATCCAGGAATTATGGAAGAAAAACAAATTAAAAGACTATTCAATTTCCATCCCCATTAGTCACAATCCATCTATAGACCTTCCACTAAAAGGTGTGTGATAGCGGAAAAAAATGATTGTAAAGCCATTACACATCACCTGTGCCCACGCCGCCTCTCCCGATAGCGAGATGTTTGGCTTAATGAATGGAAACAGTCTCATTCTCTTTCAATTTAGGGCATTTGATTTGGTTTAAAGCGGCGCTACTGCCCAAATGTGGGAAGCCAAGGTGAAAATCATTGGGCTCAGCAGAAAAAGACCCAGATAGGGGCGAGCTCGGCCTTTGCCGTCCCCCCACCGGCTCCTCTGCTTTATTACCGTGTCATAAAGCACTCATTTCTTTCCCAAGCCTCCTCGCTAATTACCCAGTGAGCGCTCTCATTTCATTTTATTGCTGGAATTAACAGCCAGATCGAAGCGTGCAAAGCTATTAAGATGTGTGATTAAGCCACATTCAATTAGTTTCTACAAACAATTTAATTGATGTAGCAGATAGAATTAACAGAAGGTGATTGTGTGGATGGCTTGGCTGACTGCGAAATTAAAGGTTCCCCTCTTCCACTCTCAGTCTGCCTCCCTCCCTCTTTCTGCCTCCCTCAATCTCTCCCCCCCCTTTTCTTACTGCTTCTCCGCTCCGCCGCTCAAAATGAGCTGGAGCTGTTACCGCGTTAATGTAACTGTCTCCCTTATTTCACCTCCCTCCGTAAGTCAACAGATTCATAGATTCATAGATTGCCCTGATGACCCGTAATAGCTGTAATGATCAAGAGATAGCCTGTTCAGTCAATTACATACATCACTGTAGCACGGCTCCGCTCTGCTAATAACTGCCTGTAAATTAAACCACTAACACACTGTCAGTGCAACAAGGCCACACACAAGGTTCGCGTCTAACTGTTGGGCTTGTGTTCAAAGTTTGGGGCTGTCTCATTAGAGACGAGATGTTGCGGCCATCTTTCACTGTACCTTCGCCAAATTGTCTGAACATCTTAAACGCGGGGCTGGAAGATCAGAGAGCGACGGGAGGATTTTCTTTTTTGCGAGAAGGGCGGGCGTTTTTTTTCTGAGTGTGGCACCGGGGCTCGTGAGCTGTCTGCTGCCAGCCAGCCGAGTGTTTAAGAGGTATTAGCGGCCCAGCGGGATTCTGACAAAGATGGATGTGGGAGGCTGGTCAGGCTCTGCTGCCATGTGGCGGGAACCATTATAAATACAAGCCAGCGTGGAGTCTGGGCGCGGCGGGCACAGCCATGTCTCCATTAGACGGCACCGGGGACGGACACCACGGGGGGGGGGACAGAGATGACCACTAGGTAGTCCCCGTTTCTTAATACTACACTTAAAGTCACAGGATTGTCTAATACAGCTGTAATATACAGCGATAAGCCTCTGTAGAAACCATCAGCCTATATGCTTGTAATCCAGCTCACTCCGGCAGCGGTGGTGAATGTAATCCCATCAACGGAATCGCGCTCAGCGGTTGAAAGAGCCGCACATTAAAACCTCCAGCAGCACCCTCGAGTACAAACAGTAGTGTAACAAACACATAAAGCCGATTGGAAAAGGAATGGGGAGGAAAGAAGGAGGACGTGAGGGGGGGGAGAGGGGTTTCAGACTCACATGTAAACTGGGGTGGTAAGTGAGGACGCCATTATCACACAGTGTGACATATTTCTTTTTCCACTCCTTGTTGAGGGATTTGCCACTTCGCTTCAGAAGGATTCCCTGTAACAGACAAGGCATCACGGTGAGCATGTGCTCTTCTCAAACAGCAGCATGGTGGATGATATGAGCCATTATGGACGGTAAATACCACAAAACAGCATTATTATTGTTATTACACATTCGTTATGGCAGTTACATTTCCTTTGTGTCATACAGTCATAAAACAAACACAGATAAGTGACAATTATGAAACAGTATGGAAGTGATTATACATTTAAAAAGAAAAAAATGTAATTAAATCCCCTTAAACTTTCATTACTTAGTATCATTTGCTGGCTGGCAGGTTTAGTGACGTGTTAGTTTTTCTATTGTGATCTTTTGAACCTTACAAAGTTGGCCAAGTTCCTCTGGCACAGAGAGCATTCAGAGAGAGAGACAATCCAATTTGCCAGACCTCCTCCCTGCATTCATACACATAACATGCTGAACTCTGGAAGACCTCTCAATCCTGGGATTAGGGAGTGTGATCTCCCCTCTTCAAAGCCCACTCAGCTCTTATTCTATTCTACTGTATCTTCTGGGGCCTTTTAGGGCATCAGATGGTTTCCTTATCTGCTGAGTAAATCCACTGGTAAACAATGCAGTTCCTCTGCTGGAGGTGGCCAAACGCTGCTGAGTGCAAGGGCCAGGAGGCTCTCTGGGGTTAAATAGTGAGGAGGGGCACGCTTAATTAGGGGATTAAGCCAGGGCGATGTTTGTGCTTTTACAGCCAGGGCCTGTGTGTGTGTGTGTGAGCTGAACAGGGGGGGTTAAAGGGGGTAGTATTTTGCTAGCCAGGCCCATCCTGCAGGCTTTAATCCTGATTAACACATCAGGGAGAGCTGACCCTCGGTGACCTGGGCACCAGGCTGTTTGCCGACAATCATCCTAATCCGAACCCCGATTCATCTGAGGGGGGCAAGTGCTAACTGTTGGCTGCATGTTGGGAGAGTTTGGTCTTCTTAATACCTTATGAATATACCTGCCTGCTTCTCATTGGATTTGGACTTTAAATATGGGTAAACAATTGCAAATTAAATAAATAAACTACAGAGTAGAAGAATATTTTTTGATGGGAAAACGTTATTTTTCCAAATTAAAATTAAGACAACTGGGAACAAAGACCAGCATCAACTTTGGCTGTGTGTTGCTGAAGCTTAATAAATTGTTCTGAACAATTTGTAAAACAACTTGTTGGGCATTGCAATAAAATAAAAAATCCTAAAATTCTCAAAAAACGAAAAAAATAACAGTTTCATATATTCCTTTTTTAATTATTGTTCAAAGTAAGTAGTAAAAAAGTGAAATTTGTGCATTTAAATGACATAAATATGATTTTACATTTCAGTAAGCCTTGGTTCTGGTGATTTTTCAGGAAGAAATATTGTGTCCTTCAATCGATAACTTGCTGACTGCCCAGACTCTTCTCAAATGAGTCAATAAAAGAACTGTAAACACATTTTTAAATGACTCTATAATCATACAAAGTAAATGATCCAGTCACAGGGCCTCTGGCGACTTTATAATGCATGTTTTACAAGCAAATATGTTGCTCATCTCATGGCCTTACTGAAGCATACATTAATCTATACATGCAATCAGTGCGCAGCTTCATATATTCATCAGAGCTGGGAAGCAGATCAATAAAGATGCTAAGACAATAATGTGAAAATCTTTGCGAGTGCAGACTCATTTTTCTGTCGTTGTATTTGATCAGTTTTGCTGTGGTACGTCTTTCAGTAACAACAATCATTTGACATAAGTCATCATAATTGTTCACTTGTCTGCCACATTCGGATTGAGCAGTCTGCTCTTTAAGGGATAGTTTGGCGTCAAATGGTAACATGTGTGCTTCCCTTCAACACACACACACACACACACACAAAGAGATGAGTGTGTTCAGCGTGTGCGACATAAGGAAACAGGCCGATCGCCAGACGTGCTCTCTGCTCACACAATTGTCATATCTACACAGAGGAGATAGTGTCTTTCCCGTCTTTTGTCAGACGACCAGGAGAAAAGCTGCATCCTGCCACTGTGCCTGACTGATAGGCCGGCCCTTTGTGACGGGAGGGGTGTCTGTGTGTGTGTTAATGTGTGTTGGGTTGGGAGGGGAGGGGTCGGTGATGGGGCAAGAATGCACTCACTGCCGAGGAGCTGTTGGCGGCTCCTCAGCAGTAACGGCATTGTTATCCTCACTCACTATTTTTATAGATAGGAGGGGGGTGGGAGCAGAAGGGGAGATGTGGTGGTGGGGGGGGTTGTAGTTTGGCCTGATCTTGTGAGGGGGGTGGGGGGGTAATTAAGCTCACATTGACACTTTGATCTCCTTGATTGTGCATTTGAGTGGCCTGGAGATGAGATAGTAACACCACTAGCCCCCTCCCTTCACATCTGTATACCCCCCTCCTCTCTGAAAGTCCTTTGTAGATAAAGAGGGGGATGGCTCTTGTCAAAAGTTGCCATGATACTCAGAGAAACAGGCCCTGGACTTTAGAGAGGAGCCTCCCCGTAGTGTGGTGGATAAGAATGGGGGGGGGGGGGGATTTTACAGTAAAGATGGCTCAGAGGGTGATTCTGTCCTATGTGTGAAAAACAACCTCCTGCTCACCTGCGCTTATCAGATTTGCCAGCTTCTGCAGAGACTTACACTACTCTAGTTAAAAACCAAGAGCTCTACGGAGATGACATGTTCGCACAATGGCCACCATGAAGTTTGAATATCTATTTTCAGCCATTTATCCAGGGTGGTGCGCACAAATCTGTCACATTAATAAGTATAATTTTGACGTAAAAGAAATGGAACACAAATTAATTTATTTTAATTTAACACCACGAGATGTTTGTATCTATTATATGAACATGCACGATAAGTGACGGACTGATGAGGCCGATAGATGCTGTATCTGATGGTTTCCTGAAAGCCATATTTGATTGAGTGAGGGGGCTCGGAAGTGTCACAAGTGCCATTATTTCCGCCGAACCAAAGCCGTGACAATTTTCTTCCAAAGGGAAAGAGGATGTCTGGCTCAACATTTTCAAAGAGGACATTATCTTCCGCAGGTAAAGAGGATAGTATAATGATGCTGACCCATTTTCAAAAGCCCTCATATAATCACAAGTGATTACTAATCAATGTGTCAATTACTTCTCCTTCGGGTTGTGGTCGGACCTTTAGAAAATGATCCTCACTCAGATGTGTAATTCAGTGTTCAGCACTTGCAAACCGCTCCTTTAAAGCAAAGCTTGAATACATAAAAGAAAAATGTAAAAAAAAAGGGGATAAAAAAATAACTAAGATACCAGCAAAAATTCTTCAAGAAGGGGAAAATTTGTAACTATGTTAAAATAGAAATCAGTCAGTGAGTCTGTTGTATTTAATGCAGCGCAACGTAACCGATTATGAAACTACCTAAAAAAACAGTCTAAAGAAAACGACGTCTATTGGGAGATCTAATCATAGCTGTCAAAGTTGATTATATGGATGTGCCTGAATGAACTTTTATGCAAAACTACTGCCAACACACAATTATGAGCAATAATAACAATAACATTTCCACGGGGCGAAACGTTTTTATATTAAAATGTGTAACCAAATGTAAGATTATCATCAGAACAGGATTGGAACCATCTCTCCCCAACTGATGGACACGACTTAACGCCACACAATAACTGGCTCTATTAAAAAAAGAAATTCTGAAGTTCGTTTACATTGGTTGTTAAAACAAACCTTTATTTTCAGTTATGTTTAAAATAAGAAAGACGCAAAATGTTTATTTTTATTAAGATTTTATTACATTTTACCTGCAATGTATGAGGTCCGAAACGAGCCGATTGTGTCTTTTTAATTTGGTAGGCGTGTGATTTACACAAATTATTTCTCTACATCTAAACCCTCAGCCTTCGTCTCTCTTGTCCTCGGCTACACTTGGCATTGAGGTAGTTTGATAAGTTGTATTATGTCGCCATCTAGTGGTTACAACAGCACATGACCAATTCCCACCGGTGAGCTCCACGGCCTATATCCCCTGTTATTAAATCCTTAACACACAGCATATCAACATTAAACAGGAAACAACATCCAATAGCACCAAAGGGGATCCCACTTACCGAGGTATCTATGAGAAAGGTATAGGGTAGAAATGAGGAAGGCGGCTTACCTGCTTGATAGGTATGGCCCTCCCACTGCCTATGCTGTCTGTTTTACTGTCAACGCTCTTTGCTTGTTCACTGGCTTTCCGTGACTGCAAGAAAACAAGAAAGTCAGTCAGCAACTGAAGCGACAAACTGACGGCAAAGCAGAGTGGGAGATGTGGGGTGTGAGGTGAGTTTTGGGGGCGTATGTTGGTGTGTGTGTGTGTGAGGGGGAGAGAGAGAGAGAGAGAGAGAGAGAGAGAGAGAGAGAGGGGGAGAGAGAGAGAGAGAGAGAGTGGGGGTGAGAAGGGGGAGGTGAGGGGTTTGTGTTTTGAGCATCGTGGAGAAACTCGACATTGCAAAATAAAAGTCTCAAAAAGAAGCTCGAAATCAACAGACAAGCAGACCAGCGGAACAAACAGCAGTAACACCGACGTGCAAGTTCAAATTAAAATAATAAGAGACCAAAAAACCAAGACCACGATAGACACATCTCAACACAGAGGAGACCAAGGACGACCACACATTGAGTCATGACTCAGCCCTGAAACCCTTTGGGGTGGGGAGGGGGGGGAGGGATCCTTTTCCTCTGTGTGAGACCCAGAGCGGGCCCTTAGTGGACCTGCAGACCAACTGCTGCAAGAGCAGCGCAGCTTCAGCTGTGCTTAGTCGCACTGACACAGGCTTTTGATGCATCATAGTTACATTACAGTTCACAACAGGTTAAAGGGAGAGAAGGGGAAATGGTTATTTCACAGGAGACTTCAGATTAAGTAGCTTCCCCCAAACCTGCAAAAACCTGGTGGGACACAAAATCATCTTTGCAAAATATCAAACAATTCAAATGTCAAGTTAGAATACATGACCATTTCAAGTTTCAGGTCGTGCCTGTGTGGGGGGGAAAAAAAGTTAGTTGGTTAGACAGTAAATATAACTTTACATTAAAATAAATCATTAAAAAAAAATAAATAACTTTCCCACCCCAAAACAACGAGATGTGACACAGGTAAGGACAGACATGAGTGTGTATGGGCTCACTCAGAACATGAGAAATGTCCAGTCACCAATGGAGAAGAGGTAGAGTCCGAGTTCAAGTAAACCAACTCTGCTGCTTATATTTTTTCCAACATTTTATTTTTTTTAATGATGACTTGTTTAGCTTCTATACAGACACCATACAAAGCAAGTCACAAATTCACTTCAAAATATTCAACAGATTGAGCCAAACATTGCAGTTCCCACAAAATATAGGATGAACAATAAAGGCATTATTTCATATACTCCTTATATGTATGTACTTTTTATAGAGTACCATCGTAAATAAAATACAATACAAGATATACAGCAGTCTATAGTTTCGTCAATCCGTTCATGATAGAAAAGCGATTATGCAAGAGTTCATAATCTTTGTACCAAAACCTAAACTGAGATCAAATGAAAATAAATAAATGAATATAAGACAATTGAATGTGCAAAAAATAAATAACTTCAAATAAATAAAAGGGAAAACAAATGTTAAGTTTAACTACATTCATACAAGTCGGTGCAACCCAGTGTCATCCAATATGATCTCTCTCTGTAATACCTCAACACTCTACCCTGCTGTTTATGAAGGCCTTCATAAAATAACCCCAAATTACTCTGATCTGAAATACCTCCATGATAATACATTTATACCACATTTTTTCAATTCCATTCAATACTCCCTGGAAAATAAGAAGGAATCAAATAAAAACGGACCAAACGAATGTCGGAAAAATCGGAAAAGGAAGAACAAAAAAAACAACAACGTGGCACGTCTAGTCCTTGAGTCCTCATTTATGGCGAAAGGCAGTGTGATGTCATGTGAGGAAAGGTTGTGTCCTTTGGGTGGCTGGATAACAGTTCCAAGAGTGACTTGACTGTACAGCGTGTGTTTGTGTGGGATGTCTGAATGGGAGTTTGGGGGAAGGGGGGAGGGGAGAGGGGGGGAGGTGGTGGACGGGGCATTTCCAGAAGAGTCCCTAGAGTCTGTCTCTGAAAGTCTACTTTGAGTGCGCTCAAACACCCAAAATGGACTCAACTTCAGGCCGCGTTCGACGCAAAGTCACATGGTTTCCGTATAGTGCAAGTTCTATGCATTACCCTAAATGCCATAAAGCACCGAGGGTAAAGCAGCGACAAGCTGTAAGTCCTCAATAAATAATCTCCTCTCTTTCCTGTCTGGCAAAGCAGGGGGACTCTGACTTTTTTTTTTTTTTTTTTTTTTTTTTTTTAAACCATTATTCTCTTTTAATTCGGAAGGGGTTGGAAAGCCCTTTTTGTTGAAGAAAGGTTGGAAATAGAAGCACAAATCTGCAAATATTGAAAAACAGTGTCATGTTTTTTTTTTTTTTTGTTCTTTGTTTGTTTTGGTTATGTTTCGTTTCATACGTGGAGATCTGGTAAAAGGTCAAGGGAGTAAAAACATGAAATGGGACACGTCAAATGGCAGACATGAACACATGGATTAAATGAAGATGAATGAATGAGTGGGATGGAATTAAGTATAAAAAATGCCGCAGTAATTCCTGTTTAATTCCTTAAACAGTGTGCTTTTTCAACACAAAAAGGGACGGACAGCCTGAAGATGTCAGGAAAACCACAGACAGATTACAAAACCGATTGTTTCGACTTATTGACCATGGAAGCGCTAGGAAAGAATAACGTGTACTGTGCTGACACCTAGTGGCCGAGGACAGTTATGGCAAAGACTGGCTTGAAATGATTGTGGTTGGTGAAATTGATTGTGAGGGCGGTGAAAAGACGGAGTGATAAGATCTTCTGTAGTAAAGCTTTAAAGTTCATTTGTTTCCTTAAATTAAAAAAACCCAAAGTGTAATATAAAAAGATTCACCTACTTTAAAAAGGGCGTTTCTAATAAACCACATCTGATGTTTTTTGTCGTCGGATTAAACTCGGGCCAAAAAGAATCTGAACCCAAAAGTAATAATTCTTTTCTCTGCAACACTGTTAACTCAATACGCTGCACATAGCAAAGGATTTGTTTTAATTTCAAGAGTCCCAATGCCAGTGCCACAAATGTGACCATTATTACTTTTATATCTGATTACAAGTGAAGATTTATTACTTGCAGCAATGTTCTCCTCTGCTATATTAGATCAAAAACATTGTATGTGATGACTAAAGTGAGTCTGATATTGATCTGTCAAAGCTCGTCTGCTGATGAGATTAAGGCATATTTTCATTCATTGAACACTTTCTCTTGAAACTCCCAAAACTAACATAAAGTGAACTACTTACAAGAGTGTGGCTAGAAAACATGAATGGCAGCCTGCCGTCTTATCAGCGAGCAGCAGGACGTTTTAGAGAACTTTCTAACACAGATGTCAACTTGTTTTTTTTTTTTTTTTTTAGAACGGACAAAGCTAGGAAAGGGACATCCTCGATATTGTTGTGTTGATGGAATATTTTCTCTTTCTGGGGTTTCTTGTAACGGCAAAAAGGTTGGCACTGCAAGTCTTCCTCTCCTTAGCCCACTGCACTCCTCAAGTGTCACTGAAGAAATGTCGACATCGCCCCGTAAACTTTCCGTCCCCTCCTCCTCCTCCTCCTCCTTCTCCGCTTCCTTCTTTCCTCCCTCACCCTCCCCTCTCCCACCCTCGGCTCGCTGCTCCTCAGAAGGTCATGAGCTGAAACTCCCGCTCGGCTTGCCACTCCGGCACCCACACTGGGTAGGTGGCGTGCTTCGGTATCTCCATGACGCGGATGGGGAGAGGGTCATTTCTCTGGTGGACATGGTTAGTCACTACCTAGCAGGGGGGGAAGGGAGACAACAAGGGGAGCTAGCACACAGCCTGTACTGCTCGGAGGCCACAAAAAAGCCTGCGGCTCCCACAGCAGCTGGGGTAACAGGGTGAAGGCAGTAGGAGAAAGAGAGGAGTCGGGGGATAGATAGAGAGGGAGTTAGAGACAGGGGGAGAAGGAGGTAGGAGATCGGAGACAGGGGTCAGAGGGGCGACAGAAGAAAGCGCTGATGGACAGGAAAGACAGGTGGAGGAGAAGAGTTATTTTAAAGGTGGGGAAGGGTGGATGTACCAGGGAGGAGTTAGGAAAGAAGTCATCTCACATAGCCTGCTCTCTGTCTCACAAAGCTCACAGAGTGCTGGAGAAAAAAAAACACTACGATAAGCAAACCTTTGGAAAAGCTGACTCAGGCATTGTGAAAACACTCGTTGGCTTTTTTTTTTTGGAGGCACAAACAGGCTCTCTGAAGAATGATTTCATTGATTTGAAGGACAACAACAACACTATTTCTGGGACTAAAACAAAAAAACAAAAAATCTGCAGACCTCCCTGAGCTCGAAAAGAGGCGGACTACGTGAGATTAGGAAAGGCTTAGCAGCAGAGAAGAAGGCTGGTGTAGGAGGGAAGAGAGAGAAGGAAAGGGGGGAGCAGGCTGGGTAGAAGAAGAAGGGCAGAGGCTACAAGTAAAAGACAAGCTTAGGACAGCTAAGGAAATTAGAGTGGTTAGTGCACACATACGCTATTGGTTAGAGCAAAGGGCGAATACGACAGGACATGGGGTAAAGAGCAGGCAGACAAGGGTCGGGATACTGGTGCGGTAATTCCTGCTGGTCGAGATCGGATTTGGGCCGGAGTAGAAGTAAGCGGGGTGAGGTTTGTGGGGAGTTGTTTAGACTCGGCGAGACGGTTCGTGGCTGGGTGACGATTTCTATCTGGAGCTGGGGCGTCGGAGGGTGAAGGGCATGCGTTACTAGCAGCGCGTTAACAGGGCATTGGCTGGCTCGGACTTTTTAGTTTAGCTCGGTCGGGCAGGAGAGGTTGCGGTTTGTTGCTGCCGTTTCTGCCCAAAAGGGAAGTCACTGCAAAGAAAGGATCTAGTAAAAATAAGAGGGGGAGGGGGAGGGAGGTCAAAGATTTAGACAGTGCAGAGGGCCTAGTTTGTTATGGGTGAGATGAGAAACGTAATCCATGTGCACTTACTACATCCAATTAGAAAAGAAAAAGGACATGAAAAGAGCTTTTATTTTCCACAGTGCTTATCTTTGATATTTGCTTTGAAAGAAGGGTTTATTCCTTTGGAGAATTTTCGGGGATCTAATCTAATTTCTACTTCGTCTTTTTCTCCTTTTGCCCTTTGTGCTGTGTGAACAAGACGCTTTTTTTCTTTGCCTGCATAGGAGGCAGGAGAGATGGCCGAGATGCATTTCGAGCGACCTGTCTCCCTCTGGTGGACAAAGTGTGCTTTGGCAAACATGCCTCCTAGTAGTGTGAGTGGGTGTTGCTTTGCATCAGCTGTCGCATACTTACTGTGAAAATGTTGGAGCGGCGCTTCGACTGCTTGCGGATGGGCGTGGGCGTGTTGGAGGAAGCGATGGTCTCAATGCGCATCTCCCGCTGACTTATGCTGGGGGTGGAGGGAACGGAGGAGGAGTAGTCACTGAATGCACCCCCACCATTGGCCGCCTGGGGAGCGAGAGAGATTAAGAGGAACCGACGGAATCAGAAGAAGGGAGGAGGGAAGAGAGAGAGAAAGATGGAGGGATTGAAAGTCTTTATATTGAGGGACATTCTATTTATTTTCCCACGCTGATAAAAGAAGTCACGATTATGAGAAGAATTACATAAATGAAGCTGTTATACGCAATAACAGAACGGCACGATCAGTGAGTACAACTGTGTGCCGCCTCTGATGGTTTGGATCTTACCTGGTTAATGTGAACAGACGGGATGGATGCAGCGGGGACTGACGAGTGGCTGGGAGAGTTGGGGAGAGATTTGCACGGGCCGATGGAGAGCTGCTGCTTTTTCCTCATGGCCACGACCTTCTGGGCAACTGGAGAAGAGCGTGGCAAAGACACAGCAACGCATTGTTCATTAACCCGGTCTTGAATAGAAACCATACATGTGAGATATCTCAATATTTTAAGTTAAGAAACAGCATGTCTTATTAGAAGGTCAATCTCCTCACCTGCCATCACTTAAAGAGTTAGTCCCCCCCCAAAAAAACACATTTTCTTACTTTATTTTAGTAAGTAGCTGTGCAGATAGATATTTTTCAGTTGTTTTATTTGCAACGGTTATGAAGTTACAGATACAGTACATTCGGTGAACTGGCCCTTTAATATTTTGTCAGAAGTCTGGAACACACAGATGATTAAATCCTTCGTCAAAGCAGTTCCACTGCAGGTTTACAAACGTCTACACCAGAGTCACTGCAGGATGCATGACGTGGAACGTGTAATCAGACCTCTTCCTTCACACTATTTTCCTCTTGTTTCCTCATAAACAGAACACGAACAGCATAATAATCAAATAAAGCTCAGCAAAGTAAGCAAAGCTAATTCCAGCCAGACATAGAGGCATATGAGCACGTTATCACAAAACACCTCGGGCCAGTCAGGTAATAAGCAGCATACTGCAAAAGAGTCTCATGCATATCTCCTGGGGGGGGGAGTACCTCTATTTCCAAGAAAAATAATCATACAAAATGATGCTTGCAATTTTTTTGTGTCATTCACTGAGCCCTGGAGAGCGAACTTGGCCAAATGGGACTGTTGTCACCACCTGAACAACCTGATTTTCCGTGCACTTTGTGCAACCCCGTCATCTAATTCGCAGCACACTCGTGCGAGGGGGCCGGGTGGAGCGAGAGAGTGGGGATGTTCGTGGCTGCGTGACGTGAATTAGCACCGAGGGGAACAAAAGGAGAGATGATTTGAAGTTGCGCTGACAGCTGGGACCACGACGCCCGGCTGCCTGCTGCAGCGTGGCAAACACGGAGAGAAGAGTGAGACGGAGCGACATCTCCAAAACAGCCAGCACTCTTTCACCTCTTTTAATTATTTGAAATTGGGCTTCAGGAAGCAATTACGGCAGACAGCGTGCCTGTGCACCAAGTCATCGGCATGCAAAGGGAACATTGTGTTACATATTCAGATGTTTTGTGGAGGGATGACAGGCTTTCAGAGGAGCTGCAGCCTGAGGGGATAATGTGCCGGAGTTGAAGCCGCCGAGTTTCCACGCGACGGTTTCATGACTTCAAACGCAGAGTTCCCCAATTCTTTTAAGAGACATTAAGAGGGCATTGCACCAGTCATACACGGCTGAATATTAACCGGTGTTTTCAGCTTCCACCTCCACATTTTTATGCAATCCTACATCACGATTTAAGCTTGAAGAGCTTGACGATTTAAAATGCCTGCTGTGTTATTAATTAAGATGAGCCTGCTCCTCTACTGCTCACAGAGTATACTGCTAATCATAGCCGCTGACCACACAGCATAAAGAATATCAATGTGTATGCTCGCCGCTCTGCACAAGTCACACGGGCAGTGATGCTCGTGCATGCTCAACAGCATGAAGTCCTTTTTCAATTAGCAAGTGTAGTGGAGAAAGAAAACAGGTGATAATTAGTGAATTTTAAAGCAAATTCTATTCACGTTGAACAGCGTGGCACACGGAGGTTGCAAAGGAAAATGTTGATCCAAGATTATAGAAGTTGATATAATGTTTTGCCACAGAAACTAACTCATATCTGCACAAGTTGGACATAATTTGAGAAACTGTCCTTGAAACGGGAATACGGTGAAAACATCCGGTATCCAAGTGGCGTTCACATCGTTCATACAGAACGCTGCTATTTTGTTGATTCAGGAAATTGTCAAAAAATCCTGTAATCTTTCCATCAAATTTGTCAGATTGTTCAGTTGTTCATGTGAAATGTGATGTAGCTTTTGTGATGTTTAAGAATCATTCTGATCTCAATGAATAAACAAAGTCTTTGTGCTTGCTTTGAGTGAAGCATGTGAATAAGACAATAAGGTAAAAATAGGGCTTCAGCCAACAAATTATTCACTAATTATTCACAAGCTACACCTTCTACTTCCTGTCTAACCCATTTCCATTTTGTTTGGCCCCCCTCTCACCGTCCTGGAAGACTCTCTCCACGTTCAGGCCGTAGGTGGAGCAGGTCTCATAATACGTGCAGCGCTTCAGGTCATTCGACAGCTTTCTGGCCCGCGAGTCATCGATCACTCTGGGGTTGGCAGCACTGATTGCGTCTGAGAGAAGAGGGAAAGAAAATATGAGGATGAGGCTGATGATATTCTGAAGTCAATTCATTTCACAAAATTATACACTTTAACTTTGAACACAGGCTAAAACAACTGCACTGTCGTTTTTAAGAAACATTACTAAAAGAGGTATAAATAGTGCATTTGTTGAGGACTGTTTTTAGCTGCAATACACATTTGATGAGCATGCGAGTATTTCCGGCAGCAGGACGCTGTGTGTAGGATTGATTTTCACTGTGATGAGGGCAAGGACACAGAGTAGAGAAACGTGTATGTCAGACGTAGGAAAAGCACCTTGTGTTCCAACGAGGACCATGGGGACCTCAGCTGTGTTCCTGTAGCTGGAGAGGCGCAAGAAGTAATTGTAGACCGTCTGGAAGCTGATCTCATCCTCCAGGCTGAAGACGAACACCACCGCATCCACCCAGGCAGCAAACTGAGGACAGAGCAGAGGTGGCATGTTGAAGCACTGTGAAATCTAAGATGCCATATTATTGAACAATAACTTTTACATAACGTTTGTTTTTTGCCTCAGAACTGCTTATTGTCACTTCATTTGGATGTTTGAGCGTCACTGTGCAGTTTGATGCGTGTGCACATTCTGACACTAGAAGGCTGTTTTCACATTCATCTACCTATAAAGGTCAACTACTTAACATCACAACTAGTATGGAGGTCGAATGTGATAAAATATGCAACGAGTGTGACGTGGACATTTGAAAGCTCCAGCATTAACTGTGACGGAACAAAGTCCATTTCATAAGTAGTTACTAAACTTTTGAAATATAAAAGTTGCATGAACATTGATCCTAGAAGTAATAGATGAACATTAAATCATTTTTATTATGGTTATTAAACTATTGAGAGGCAAATTATTTTGAAATAATTATGTCTTAAAACTTTTTTAATGAATACAATTTGTTCTTATAATGGGGCCCCTGAAATAGGCGATGGATCTTAAATGGACGTTTTTACTGTTAAGTGTTGCAGGCCTTCTTTGGACTGACGTTCACACATGCAGACAGAAGGGGGCAGTGTAGCAGCAGCCGCAACACAAGGACCGTCACCGGGTGATATGAAAGCGAATGAGTTAACGCTACTACTGCGTCCGTATCTGTATTCCCACTGCTATCATAATTTAGGAATCTTTGTATCTGCGTCATATACTCTGACAATGTCAGCGTAGTTTATGATCAAACGGGGCAGAGAAGTTTCCCTTGAGCGGAGGAAATCAACCCTAATCACCATTCATTGTGGGGAAGAGGCCAAGCAGAGCTCAGAGTAGTGCTAGCAGTGACAATCAAGTGGTAGCTATTCCCCCGTACGGCCCTCTTCTCCATTCAGCTTTCACACCTCACTCAGACCCCCAATAGGGAATGAATGGAAAAATCAAGCCTCATGAGCCACAAGTCTGCTCAGCTTCCTGTGAACATAATAGAGGCCTTTAATTATGCCACTAATTATACAGGCAGCTGACAACTAAACCAAACTCATTTCTATTCCCTAATCTCACTGAGCGCAATGCAAGCGTAAAGTCGAAGCTTTGCCAGGCCAGGTGACAATAGCTGCTGATGGAAACGCACGGTCAGTTCACCCTGACGTGTGGCGAGAAACATTGAATCTTGGGAGAGAAGCCAGAAGCAAGTCGTTTTTGTATTCCTGGGGGTTTGTTAGCATTTTAGCATTGAATCTGCTTATTAAATCTCCTTCTTTCGAATCAAAATCTTTTGATTTTATTAGGGTTTTGTTCATTTCAAGCAACAAAAGTTAGAAAAGACTTAGTATTTAAGAACTAAAACTCTAAGAGGGATATTCAAAAAGCACTCAATACATTCCAATACTCATGTTTTGCCACATGAAGGTGTTGTATATGACTCTTTCTTAATAAAAAAAGACAGACTGCTGTTTTGTTTTTGCTAGAGGTGATAAGTAACGACGTACCTTTACTGTAAGTACTGTACTATGGTCAAGCTGAGAACAGACCAATAATATGTCATCGTCTTGTGAGTGTTAGCAGATAGCTGCCTATCTACACTTCCAGTAGACACGGAGCAACATTAGCATTCATTCAGAGTCGTGTTTCTGAAACACCTGACAAACGTCCAACTTTCTTTTAGTTCTGTTTGCACTTTCTGCCAGCTCCTGGGGGAGAAATCTGGCTCTTTAGCAGCTAAATGCTCCACTGTGTTCGACAGGAAGCTGCAGCTTTGTCTGTCTGCCGTTTGGCGCTGGATCGGTGGCGTGTAGTCGGTTTATCAGAGCTTTTTGGTGACAAGCAGCTGTCTGCTGCATCTGGAAACAACAGAGCCAAAGGCCGAGTGAACCAAAACAGTAAAATATTGCATTTGTAACTCATTTGACAATCTTTTTAGACAGCTTTAGATGATAGTTACTTGCAGATTAAGACTTAAGATGCAAAACATGTGACTAAATAAAATACAAATAAATACAATATGATCCATTGTTCTAAATTTGAACCATTCATTTGTATATAGTATGGGATGGGAGGTGAAACCCAACACTTTGAGGTAAAACATGGCTCAAGAATCTGTCTGATGCCTGCGCTGACACTACACAATGCTAAGCAGGAAGCAATGTATTTCCATTGGAAAAGAATGAAATAGCATCAGTATGAAAATATCAATTGCATGATCTCTTATGAAGACTCAGTGGAGCCCACTGTGGATGACACTGTAGCTCCATTACTCTTCATATTGCACATAATAATGTATTAGATGCTGCGCTGCCCCTTCGACCGCACACATTATTTTGGCTTGGCTTGCTCATTGATCTGTTGTGCTGCCCCGCTGCTCCAAACAGTCCAGCAGAGAAGTAATGGTCTGTCTCTGAACACTTCCTGCCTGCATGACGGTTCGCAGTAGTGCTGTACTCGACCAAAGACATTCTCGGGTCAAGCAAACACCTTTGAGAGGCGTTCGAATTTCATGAACAACTTTCTCTTAATGACGGAGGAAGAAGTACGCCGATCCTTTTCTCAAGTGACAATACAACGATGTAAAAATACTCTCTCAAGTCTAAGTCCTAAATTCTGAATCCTACATATTCAGGCTGTTTTAGACCAAAGAAATTCTTAGTCAACTTACACTCGTACGATATCTTGTAAAAAAGTTAAAAAGCATAATAAACAACAAGAAATCTTACCCGACTAAGACCAAAAACCACAGATTAGTTGATTAAACTACTACGAGGGACAGCCATAGTTTGCAGACTGTTCCTGCAGCTTTAGAGTAAAGAGATTTTTCTTCTTCTCATGAATCAACTCTTACCTGCAGTTCTGGAGGCCCTCCTTCATCTCTGATCAGAAGCAGGTAGCTCTGTCCATCCACCACGATTTCTTTCTTGAAGCGTCCACCTGAGGAAGAGACATTTATCAAATATTTGTTATTGTTCCAAGAAGATTCTGTTAACGCGGTAAGTCTGGTACAAGATGATACTGGAAAATTGTCTCAGGATGTAATAACTGACCACCAGGGTTTCCCCCAAGGAGAGAAAGAAGACGTGCAGACACATCTCATAAATCATAAAAACAATGAGGATGTTCCAGATACCAAAGTTAATATCAAAACACAGCTTGACATGGCCCATAAAAGTTTGGGCGAGATGGTGTGTGAGTCGAAGTGCAGTTCTCAATTTAGACCCCCTGAATGCATTGCCGCGAGGAGCACATGCCCAACAGGAAGCCAGGTCTCTCTGGAGCCAATTACGTGGGCGAGAAATTGCCATTTAGCGCATTTAATGCACAGCTGCTGAGTGAACAGGTTCAGTCACCGTCACCGCACAGCCACAGGTCCCCGGAAAAAAAGCCCAACTTTCACTTCACTTCATTTTCAGACTGCACGTGCAGGCCGTCACTTCACCGCGTGAGCTACAGAGGTTTAGAAGATTGGGTTTTCACGGGATTAACATAAATCATTACACTTTGCTTAAAATAATCTCGTATTGCAAAGAGACGAAGGAACGGAAGAGATGGGAGATAAAACCAGAGGCGAAAACACTATGAACCGGTTTGCCTCAGGTCACGCCACGTCCACAGGAGAGTAGCGGCAAGCCTACACTCAGCCCCCGTGTAGCCTTGACTATATCTCTCTCCTCGTCTCCGTCTCTCCTCTAATAGAAATGCTTATTCCTCGCTGCTATAGCGAAGCCGGCTGCAGATAAAGAAGAGATCAATGGGAGAACGATGCACTAAATTAGATTTCGCATATCATTTAAATGGTCTGCGATCCTGCAGAGATTAAAAACATTCAAATGAGAAAGTCGTGAGGCTATAGATGTCCCTGGGTGGGAAAACACAGTGCCTTATGAATACGAAAATGTATTTGCACAAATTAAAAAAAAAAAAAAAGGTTCTAGGAATGATCATGAAACAGATCGAACAAATTGCGCTGAAGACAGCAGATGTGCCGACTAAAAGTACACCTGTTACACTTGTCTCGGGAGTTTCATAAGCAGCCCGTTAGCTAAGATATTCATGGATAATAAGAGTGTCGGAGTTCACGCTGTGCAGCCTCCATATCAAGAACTCCAGGTCTTACATCACAGAGACAGCGGTGAGGGCCACACAGTAGCCGGGCCCTGTAATGTTTTAATAGGCGGAGAGTATTCCTATCGCAGCAAGCAATACATATCCACTTGAGCCACACTTCCACCCTGTTAAGTCCACTTTAGCCCGCTTGGCAAATAGGGGATTCTCCCAGCCCTTTTGCACCGGCTCTCGAGCCCTGCTGGATGCTGGTTGTGTAACAGACAGAGAGAGAGTCACGTACCACCAGCCAGCTTTTTTCTTTTTCAAACTGAAGTCACAGAGCTTTGGAGATTCAGACAAAGGACTGAGAAACTACGTGTCTGTGTGTCTCTGAATCCTGTTTAAAAAAAAAAAAAAAGATGAGGAGGATCTAATTACACAGTGACTGGATCAGAACGACACAGCAAACCAAAAGATGTATCAGAATACGGAGCTTGGCAGTACATGCATATAAGCCAGAACAGATTATGGAAAGTCTCTCTGAAATCAGTATCTGTACCGAAAGCATGCGGCTGTGGTGGAAACACGGGTGGAAATTGAAGTAAACATTTCAGTTGTGTAATCATCCGGGATGCTGTTGTCTTTATTTAGAGCTGAGCCAATACAGAAAGCCTGTGCTGTGAATGATAATAATAATAATAATTGAGGCAGCAGACCCACCATACCTCTTTTACCATCGCACTTCTCTACAGCGTGGTTCAAATGTGTCTCCATCTTACATAAAAATCTTTTTAAAAAAGAGGCGACTAATAACCTTGCAGCCAGCCCACAGAGGGCCGGTGAGGAGCTGGTAGGCACGGTTAGCACGCAGTAAGCATACTCCGCTTACACGGAGGCTTAGACCTTCACACAGAGTCACAATCCAACGGAGCTCCATCCGGTGTTGCCATGGCAACACACCCCAGTACCTTTTTTTTTTTCTTTTTTTTTTTTTCCAGATATCATAGCAAAAGCTACAGGAACAAAACACTGAAGAAACGGCCGCCGCTGAACCAGCGTTAAAGCATGTAAAATGAATCAAAAACAAAGAGAGGTTGAGCAGCAGCTCATTATGGGACAGGTATATGTTGTATCACAGCAACGTAAAGGGACGACATATCTGAGCCCGTGATTACAGCAGCGACGCTCGTTCTGGTTTTTTCCTCCTGCGTTTACCACCATTGATTTCTCAAGGACTAATTAAGCCATGAGGACTTTTTTTTCTCCCTTGGTGCCGCAAAATGCCAGAAACTAATTATGCACTTCACGTCTCATCCTCACTATAATTACACAAAAATGAAACACTGCAAAACCCCTCAAAGATCAGCAGCTCACTCCGGGTTTACCAACATCTCTGAGGGTTTCTGAGAGGAGGACTTACCTTTCAGGCCAGAAGGGGGCATTCTCATTATGATTCTGCTGATAAATTGGAAGAATATTTGTTTTTTTTTAATCTCAGAGTGAGTTAAAAAGGAAGAGGGTCTGAAAATAGACCTCCCGAAACTAAACTGAGAAACTGACCCATTCTCCATCAGCACAAACGGTTAATGATTGATACAAAAACTTTGATTTACAGACATAATGATGAGGTTTTGTTTTACCTTTGAGTTTTAACAATGAGTAATCATCACAGCCCTAATTTACTGGAAATGTTATGCTTCGTCATTATCTCACCAATCTCAGTGGAGGAGGAGAAAGCTAATTTATAAAAATGAACCCAGCCAACTATCAGTTTTGGCATCCGGAAGCTTCATTTCATCCAACACACAACATTTGAATACAAACTAATTAGAAGATCACTCTCACAAGGCACCGTGCTCCATGTAAGTATCCTAATACACACATCCTAATATGGTTATCCGTCTGCACCAAGTGGCAATCAGTGCCAACATGCTCGACTTTCTTCCCGTGTAAAACCAAAGAAAACTAATTTACCAGCTGGCGGGTTTCTGTATAATTTCATTAATCAAATGATTTTAGAAGACATCAGAATGTCATCAATCTAATAACAAGGCTTCTCTTAATTTATGAGAGGCAAACAAAAGGTGTTCACTCGTCAGCGGCCACGTATTTTATATGACAAAATAAATTAGAACATGAAAGCCGCAGTAAACACGCTGCATTAATCTGAATCTTTGTGGTTTCCTGACACGTTCACAATCGCCTCCTGACCTGCACCTCCAACAGCAGACTCTTACCTTCGGGAGACTCCTCCTGCACATATGTGCCCGTCAAGTACCGGTGGACCAAAGCAGACTTCCCACTGGACAGATTTCCCACAATGCCCTGCAAGGCCAAGAGCAAAATACTGTGATTATCGCTGACAGGCATAACATGACAGGTACAAACCAGAAGCATAGGTAGACTTGAGGGGTAATAGTGACCTGACAAAAAAAAAAAAAAAAAGAAGTCTCAGCACAAGGTCATCTCACTTTGTGTTTCTGTAGCTTTCCACCTCGCTCAGCGACTCTATCCGCTGAGTAAGGCCATGAGACGTTGTTACAAGCTCCAGAAATACGAGGTTAGTGGACCTTGTGTGTGTTTATAACAGTTCCTGTTAACAGAAGCATCACCATTAGAGCCCAGCTGGTAAATCTAATGTCGACATATTAGTTCAGTGCTCAGTGAAAAATCAAGTATCACAATATTTTTGACCAAATACCTCGATATCAGTGTTGCAACAATATTGTGAGACGATAAGATTTTTGATAAATAATTCTCAGTAATGTGGATTTGAAGACTAAGTGGATAAAGGCAAATAATAGCACAGTCTGGTAAGTTCAGAAAATGATACAAGTTCACTGTAATGCCGGCTTCAAAACCAGGAAAAGAACGCACATAATGCCATTTTACAATAACAAATATTCAACACGACATCTAGTCTCATATCACAATGTCAATATAAAACCTATATTTTGCGCAGCCCTGTATTGGTTTGTATCCAATAGATTTATGTTGATGTTTATGTCAGAGTCCAAGTAACAAGAAATGGCATCTGCCTCAGAACTGTAGTATTGGTTGGACTATAATTACCAAACACAAAACCGAAAGGTGAATCAATGTCCACCGTGACGGACCGCTTCTCTGTAAGTCGATTTTAATGATTTAAACAAAACATGTTTGTATGGTATGCTAAGAAAACAATGGGAAGTAATAGAAAGTACATTTGGTTTGCAGTCAAGGAACAAAACCTAGAAAACCACTATTTGGTTCTTTACGCAGGCTGCAAGAGGTTGAAACATTTTGAGGATAGCCCTCTAACATACGACGGTGTGGTTGCAATCTTTCCCCTACTTCCTCTCCCTGGTGTCTAGACCAGACCTAGCTACAACGCCTTCAGGGTGATGCATGGCAGAGGGTGGGCTGATGATGCCAGCGTGTCTGGGAAGAACAAAGGCTGCAACATGCCTCATCTCCTCCTCCTCCTCCTCCTCCTCATCTACCTCCTCTACCCACCATCGCCCTCTTCTTCTTTAGATCATTAGTGGGTGTTAGAGTCAGGTATGGTTCTAATTATAGGGAAGTTTGAGGCTCAAGAGAAAAGATCGGTTTAAGGCCTTTCCCAGCCTTCCCCCTGTATAATTGAAGTATAAATATACCATGTGGTGCCCCAGCAGAATAAACTATGAATAAGCTTTAAGTTAGCAAATGTTGCAGGCTGTGTGCGGTGAAAGCAATGAGTCAACAACAACCGACTTTGAATGTACCACCGAACCAGTGTTCCTGTTTTAACTGTTGGGCTTTGTGACCTGCTGATGTGACCTGCTTTGTAAAAAATTAAATAAATAAAAAGCACTATTCAAGTAGAAAACTTTCATTCTTCTTTGTAGACGATTGGGTTTGATCTGGGAATATTTTAAGAGAGTGGATCTAATGATCAAAAGAGGGCAATAAAGTAAGGTCTGACCACAGTTTAGTTGCCATCGTAAAAACTACAATGCCAGCTCACAGCTGGAGCAGATGTTTTAGAGCTCATCTCAGCCTATCATCATTTCACACTTCCCCGTCATTATTATGATGGCACCAAAAAGAAGAAACAGATTACGCCACCATATTAAAAAGCTTCTGAGCCCAACTTCTTTTCATTACGACCTTGTCACTAAACAGCATTTCTTTGAATAGAATGATCGCTTTTCTTTGAATCACTTCATTCACTCTTTCCAAGTCTGTTGAACAAAAACCAATGTGCTGATTAACACCTGAGCAACCTTAAAGGAACAGGGACGCATTTGAAGTGTTTGAAGCCGAAGCCCCCCCCCCCCCACCACCTCTCTTTCATTCCATTGAAGTTTTCTCTTTTTGGGGGGCAAACAATGAATTCCCCAAACACGGAAATATTATATCAACTGTCAGAATGGCGGAGTGCAGTTTCTAAAGGCTGCTAGTCTTCATGAGTGGAAAGCACTAAATCATGTGAGGATGTTAGTTGTTCATTTGGCAGTGGCTGCGTGTGTGCGCTTCACTGGCGGGTGGGATCAGACCCAGGATGTGTCACCAGTCTAGCCCAAAACTGTCACTCATTTTGCATCCTGCTGCAAGCCACCCGGCGTCTCCATGCCAACGCATCTCATTAAAAAAAATAAATAAAAAAATCACCCAGTTACGCGCCAGGGAAAAAGTCCAGCCAATTTCTTGACTGTTTCCAGCTCGTGTGAAATGCTAAACCAGTAATACACGGGCAGAACATGCTTTCCCATTGACATTTAAAAACGATCGGCAAGACGAAACCCTCGGAGGACGAACAGACAGAGGGACCGTTAGAAATATGAAAAGTTACTCACCACTTTCAGCTCCGGCACTGACCGACTCAATGTCCATTCCTGGCTGTTGACGAAAGAGTCTAAAAGGAAAAAAGAGACGAAAAAGGAATGAAGTCAAGCAGCATTGAAAGGCAAGCCATCTGTTTGAACCCAATTTGACCTACAGATAATATGGTATTGACAGTATTTCCCATTGGACGATGGTGAAGTGCTTTACAGCTGCAGTTTATAGTCTGTAGTGTGTGCAACGACTCTTATGATGGATTCAGCCGTCGTATGGATATAAATGATCATATCTACAGTCTGGTCAGGTATTTAGGACACTTTGACGTACTGGGGGATCGATTTTTGTGAGATTTTTCAAATGTCTTGTTCAGCTAAATTTTACCAATTCTTTTCCTCATCATCTTTTATTTCCTGCACACAGAAACTCCACAGTTCACCAGTGGGATCGTGTCAAACCGTCATGGAGTTCACTGAAGCTCTATCGAGCCATGCTGCACCAAGCTGAGCGAAGTTAAAAGGGTCAAAAGGTTAGCTGAAGATACAGCCTTTCAAACCGGCAAACTTTCAACCTTTATTTGAGTCATACACTCCAGACGAAGCTAATTTTTTGTCTTCATATTTTTCACTGCACTTTAGTCCCGAGGGATTCAAACAATATGATCAGAAAACAAAGAATTTAACACATTAGAGCTGCAGCAAATGATCGATCAACAGATAGTTTTACTGGTTTCACCTAGTGGGTATTGGACATCTTTGACATTTAATAAGCCAAGTTTGGCATCTTTCATCATTTTCTTTTTTTGTATCAATATAATGATAAATCAAGAAAGTAATGAGCAGATTAATCACAAACAAAACTAATTGCAGATCTTTTTTTATGTATTTACAACTTATCAAACACACAACTGCCAGGAAGGAATTGTGAAACACCTGAAATACAGTATGTACAATGTATGCAGTTCAATAAAAGCTTTCAACACAGTGCCATCACTGAACAGGGTTTAGCTAATCCATTCCAAAAGACAGCCATTATCAGGCTTGAGTCAACTTGTTTGGTGTCTCAGTGACATTTGGAGACTTCGACTGGATAATCGCACAAGCAGTGGGAAAGAGCACCGTGACGAACAATGCAAACCCTCAGAGCTGGAAACACAAACGACAGCTCCACAAGCGGTGCCTGTTTCCCACAGAGATGGAGTACACAACTGTGTGTAATAACAACTATTAGAACAAAGACCATCATCCTGTTTTGGATCATGGCTTTCTCACAATCTGAACCCCCCCCCCCCCCAAAGAAGAACATGCAATCTCCGATATGGGAGAGTAGACTCCCTGTCTCCAGACAACAAGGTGTGTAATACCAGGTGAACCCCACACACTCCCTCCTCATGTCGAAACCATAACAATTAAAGTGCTCACACACTAAATGGGGAGCCACCACAACAGCGAGCCTGTTTGTTGCAGCGCTGATGGTTTCCATCTGTGCCCGAGGCGATAAAAGAATGACAGCATAAACAGTAAGGTAAGCACTGTCGCTATAAGACGCGGTTTGTAGTTCCTCTCCATAATTGATGCTAAAAGCCTGAATGACTCATAACTGAGCAGACCTGAGCCAAACATTCCTTTACCTACTACAATTAGTACCCCCCCCCCACACTCAAATGTTTACTTATTTCTATGATCCACTTACAAAGAGCGTCACGCTGCTCTTGTTGTGGGAGAGGAGAGAAGTTCCTCTTCAACAGAAGGGCCTTTCACCAAGCATTGTGTGGAGCACGCCTCCTGCTAAGCCCTCTCTCTCAGTGTGGGTTTGACGTGTCTGAACACGAGCGAAGACACCCATCGGATCCAGTTTCAGGTCTGAGACTATATCGGATAAGGTTGCTAATTTTCCTGTACTTCCTTTCATTCTGTAGGGACCAATTATTTCCAGCTGCATTCACTGTACTGACTATGATGTTTTTTTTTATTTATATCATGTTATTTTTCACGTAATTTAGGTTTTTTTTAAACAGTCACAACTAGCAATTCGACAAACATCATAGTTACAGTCTTTAGCACCTAGTGATGAAAAACGCAACATTGACAAATAGTCAATGAATAGAGAATTAAACAGACACTAAAGAGAGTAGAATAAAAAATAATAAATAAACGGGAAAAAGGCCTCCGGATGCACAGATGTTTTTCCTGATTTGCCCGGTTCACGTACTAAAACTTTCACAGAGGGACACATTCAAATAAAGACCAATCCTTTGATAACCATGCACGGAAATTAAGTGTCATCAAAGGCCAACACAGAAACGGAGTTGCTGGCCGCTGACAAGCGCTGCATTTCTGGAGCAGCACACTCCCTTATTATCGATCGTGACAACACCACTTATGCTCTCAGGGACGTAAAAGCACCAAACGAGAAGAAAGGAGGAGATAATGAGGAGCTTTTACACAAAATTGCACAGGACCTGACACTCGTGCATTACTCTTTTAAAAGAAATCATCTGGTACACCCCCTCTGGAGAACACCCCCTTTATAAACTGTAACACGGAAACGCACAACTTTTTCCATCCTTAGAGCAGATACAGTACAACTAGTTTGGTTCCATGCTAACAAAAAAAGAAAGAAAAAAGGCCTAATTGAATCCATGTGCTTGTGTTACGTCATTATTCAAACATGAGCATCCGTACACTAGCGTGTCCCAGAATGCCTATGGAAACAGAGAGCCCCTGCGTTTGTGATGCTCAGAGAGGACACCGGTGTCTTTGTCTCTGCGAGGGGGGGAAACTGCGTTGCCAGCTTGTTTGTTAGGTTTTTCACTTCACCGCTCATGTCTACTCAGATAAAAATGACCATTCTGTCCGAGTGTAGCGAAGCACAATCGCCACCCCTCCCACTTACTCCCATTTCATGAGAAAAGAAAATGCAACGCGAGCAAAAAAACCACATGCGTATGGTTGTCTGAGTGTGTGTGCATGTGCATGCATTTCTATGTGCAGGGAATCCAAAGTGGTTTTTGGAATGAGAGAGGACAACCTTGAGGTCGAAACTTCCACTCTGACCGACTTTCCAACCATGCTTTCCCACTATCATAAATTACAGAGTGAGAATTTAGCTAGCAATTAGCTTTTCTACTTTGCTTATGTGCCAACCTCATGGCCAACCAACATTCCCCAGTCTGACTACTTTCATCGTGCCTCTCTTGACGAAATGGTCCTGTATCGTCTTCTTGTTGTGTGCTGCCCTGTGGGGCCGTTTACACAGCAAACAACCCGGTCAGAAAATCTTATCTCGGTCCTTCTGAGTTCCCCAAACACCAACACTCTTCAGTGTATCAAATGGAAGTAAGTGACAAACACAATCAGCAGAGAACAAGGTAAAGATCTTCATGCCATGTCAGTCTGGATGGCCTGCCCTACTTAAGGCTCTTTAAGCTGAGCGCTGTCTGCCGACAGGCATTGATCACTTTCCTGAAAATAAATTGGACCTCCTGGTTCAAACAGGATTCTCATTTAACATGAGACTTGCAAATTGGGTTTGGAGACATCTTGCAGCACAATGCCCGGGTTGACTGACTCGATTAAGAGAAGGATGTGTCAGATTTATCTTTTTCTACCCAGAACAAACTGATCGACCCTGAACTGACAAAAACTGCATACAAAGTGAAGGAGGATCTACAAATTGCAACTCAAACTCAAACAAACTGTTTGCAGACTTGTTGGTGAAAAAGCTAACTGTTTCTAGAACAGCAGGATGCTGCTGACCTCCTCAACCACGGTCCCGACGAACAAAATGTACCCTGGCTGAGATTTGCGGTGGCAGATGCTCAAATACGAGCTATATTCAGTTATTAACAGATTTCCCTCCGCTCATGCTTTTCAATATCTCGCTTTCTCCATATTTCTCCTGCAGCAGGTGAGGGGGCATCGTCCCAGTGGTACCGTTTGTCCCGATTTCCTTGAATGTGTCTATTTGTCTCGAACATAATCACCTGCTGGGAGTCTGGCTCACCCACCCCTGCTGGTATAAGCAGATGCATCTTTTAAATCAATTGTCAATATGCAGATTTTAAAGCAGGCCGACAAATTCCAACCGCAAAGTTAAGTTGTAACAGGAAACATTGTTGGCAGGAATTCACAGGACGTGAATGAGACGGAGCGATGGAGACAAGCGAAGGGAATCCCATCCTCATTAATACATGTCTGATTCAAGATAAAAGAAAAATGGATGACAAACACGGGGGGATTCTCTTCAAATTGTCAATAAGGTCAAGTCAAGGCAAGTCAAAATAAATATGCATCAATGAGCACATTTCTCTGCAGAGACTTATTACAGAGTTCTATCTACAGTGCCAGTATTTCAACCTTCAACGAGATAAGTGCATTGCTGACCACCTACGCCGCATTGCCAGCCACCTGTCCTCCAACCCAAAGACCCCCAGAGAGCCCCCATCCCAGCACACGGTTCACTGATCACTCAAGCCTCCACGGCCTCGACAGAGTGGCTTTGTTCATCCACAGGTGGGGGTGGGGACGCAGCGCGCACACCTCAACACCCATCACCCTGAATCACCCTTCCCCCAAAACCTCACAAGATTTAGAAGTCATCATCAGGAAGCACTTGAACGGACCGCGTGTGTGTGCGCATGTGTGTGTGTGTTTTGTTTTGTGAGTGCCGGGCTTTGGCTTTCTGGATTTAATTTAGGAGCAAACACTTAGGCAGGTAGCAACAAGCGGCGAGGCCCGCCCAGAGCACCTAACTTCACTCAGTCTGATCGGCACACCTACATTCCTAATGCCTGACTTCAGCGACTCTGCTGTGGAGAAAATGGACAAATACCACTTGGCACTGCACCACGGGAACAGGTATTCTTGGTAACATGTCATGTGAGAAAACAAAGACACTGGGAGATCAACAAGGTCAACTCAGGACCCATTACGGGTGTTATGCTAGCATGAGAACGAAATGTCTGCTTTGCTGGTTCAAAGGTTGGCTTAATGAGAATAAATACAGGATATGCGCAACCCGGCATTAGAAGTCATTGAGTTGTCATGAACTAATTTGCATGAAGGTGTTAAATTGGATCTTGACCCAAAAAAACGTAGTGAATCACAGCTATTAATGCAGGTAGATGCAAATATTTGCCTCTCTCTCTGCCTGATCTTCCAGGCAACTGGACAAACGCACTCCACTTTCAGAGTTGTCTTTTAGAACAGTGCTTAAGGTCGTCTTCCTTCCCCCCCCCATCCCATCATTACAGCATGTAAGCCCTCTTAATTTAGCCCTGCTAGGCCGCCAAACAAATCCCCATTACAGCCACTAACTGTTTTAATGCTACCGTTTTAAGCTGCGTCTCTGGGAGGCCAAGAGACAGCTTTATGTCCTGTGTGTGGCCAACACAGAGACAGAACTGGGGCTGTGCTACACCACAGTTGCACCACTGCAAAACACGCCATTACACTGTGTTCTCATCAGTCACTGGTGATTTGAGTTTACCGTTTACTGTACTTACCTACTCATTTACTGAACTTCAACAATCTTATGTGAGGCCAATTAGTTGCTGCGTAAGTGCTCACACACAGGCAGTTCACAAACGAAAAACACTGGGGAAATAAAGCACCCGAAATAGAAATTCCAAAAGGACTCTGGAACCAGACGTTTTTTGAATGCCATCCAAACTCAGAATTCCCCATGTGTTATTCATTTGCCTGTCCCTCTAAAAGAAAAGTGCACTTCCTTCTCTCTTTTTGAGCTGAAACTTTCTGTAGAGTGGAGGAGGGGCTGCAAATTGAGAACTGAGCTGAGAAAGAAATTCAGCAATCTTGCAGGTCTTACCTTGACCTTTGTGGGAGTCAATGCCTGCCGGAGTCTCTATGGAGACTGGCTGTGACTTATTATTCCCTTCCAGGGGATATTGGCCGGTTTCTTTGCTCAGGGACTGCTGGGTTTCACATTTGCCACTGCACGGCTGCTCTTTCCTCCTGAAACGGTTGGCTATGAGCTGCCACAGGCTTGGTTCTTCTTGAACTGGTTTGGAGGAGAGTTTTGCTGGACAGAGGGGTACCTCCATTACCTTGACCTTTCCCCTGCTGTGGTAATGAATGTACTCCATGGCCCCATCCTCAGTCTGCTCACTGGAAGTTGGAAGCATTCTTCCCGTGAGGTACGAGAAAGGCCGTGGAGGCATTGTTGTCTCCTCAGCAGTACTTTTAGTCCTAGAATTCTCCTTTAATTCCCTTTCAGGTCCTAAAGCAACTTTGTCCCGGGGCAGAGTCCTCCTGATTCGCAGGCTGAGGCTCCTTCTTAAGGAGCTCAGTGTACTCTTTGGCGCTTCAGATTTACTGGATTTGGGAGACGATTTTGCATCTATGTCACTATCGTCTTTGCTCTTCTCTTGAGATGCTTTGCCAAAAAGCCTCCAACGGAAGCCCCCTTTGAGAAGGCCTCCGTCGCTGCCTGTGCGGCTGTAGCTCCTCTGGCTGTCTATCTCATCATCAGAGCCCCTCTTTCTGAGCTCCAGTACCGTCATACTGACAGGCCTGGGCTTCCAGTTCCTCTGGCGGACCCTGGGGATCACCTCTCCGGGGGCCGAAGTTCGCTGAGCCACAACGATATTGAGGCCATCCACAGCCCTCAACTCAGCCTTCCTGGTCCTGTTCTGCTGGTTGTTTTCCAATATGCCTGCCCTCTGGAAGGGCTGCTGGGTCCGGGTCTCCGGCACTACTGGGCCTGGGCCTGCCAGCATGCACACGCTCCTGGGCCTCCGCAGACGCCTTTCTTGTTCGAGTTGACAATCTCTTTGCTGCTTGACCGAGTCGCCATACATGCTCACCGTTCTCATACCCAGCGGGGCTTCACCCTGCCGCGACCTTCGCAACACGGCCCGGGGCAGAGAGCTGTGTCCCACAACAGCGCCATGTTCCCCCAAGACGAGCCCTTTAGCGTGGACGGTGACAGGTCGTAGTGTTGAGCTCTGAATGTGTTGCTCCTTGGCTGACTCTGCCACGTCTCTGCCTTGCTGTGAAAAGTTACCTGAGTACCTGTAAGGCTGTTTCAAAAACCTGTCCGTCTTCATTTTTCCCTCCAGCTCCTCCAACTCCTCCTCATTCTCCTCCACAACTACCTCCTCTCTTTGCCTCCCAGCTCTACCTGAGCAGCTCAGGGAGGGCCACCTGTCAAGCTCGTGCCGTGCCCTGCCCGGCCTGGGGCTGTTCTCCATTGGCACCATGCTAATTATCTCTCCTCCCGGCTGGCAATTCTCAACCAGGTTGTGGGCGACCTGGCCCGTTCCCAGCTCCGACACCGCCGCATATTCCTGTGCTTTGTTCAGGATTACAGAGATGTGGTAAACAGTTTTCCCCTGTTGGCCAATAGCTGTACTCCTTGATGTCACATCCACGGTCCCACTGCTAAGGAAGAGCATGGCACTTCACTCAAAACTGATTCACTCACACATCCTCATTCACAAGCGTGTCGTACTAGCCAGTGCTCACATTTTGAGCTGCTGAGATTCAGCTCATGAAGTCCTTCATTTGAAGACCAAATTCCTGTGCCGGGCATAATCCTTCACCTTTGACATGGCAAAAAAAAACTTCAAAGTTAGAGCAAAGCCTCGTTGCCACCTGCATCCTCTGGCTCCTTTACTCACTCAGGCATTTAGATGGTAGCTGCTCTCTCCCCACACATTGTTCTACTTGTCTTGCACAGGCAGATGAACAAAAGAAAAACTGGTTATCCCACCGCTTGTTTTGCAACAAAGTCAAATCTGTGATAGTTGCAACTCAAGGAAAATGAATCACCCTTCCTCTTTGGCAAGTTACGAACTGAGAGCAATCCTTGTTGTTGGCGGTGCAGACAAACCCCTTAATCTCTGAGCTCTTGCCATGCAGAGCATGAGGGAGTGTGTCTCTGTTTGAACTTTCAGCTGCCTTCCAACCCCCGGGACACATGGAAAACAAGGAACGGATCCCACAGGCTTTAAACACGCCCTCCTGATTTCTCCATGGCTGCTAGTGGCCCCCGGAGACACACACACAGACAAAAGTGAACACGAGATTGAGAGAAGACTGAGCTGATTACACGCCGATGTTATCAACAAAGACTACCTGTCATGAATGGACACTGTGTGTCTTCTCAAAACACAGAGAAGGGGGGAAGAAGAATAGAGCTAACCAAGTTCTTTGGTAATTTATCCACATTTTAGAGACAGCCACGTCGTACTAAAATAAAAGGGTCTAGTATAGCTGCACTACTTGTACAGAGTTTGGTCATATCTTTGAGAGGGAAAAACTTACACAACCTGCCTCTCACTACAGGGCCTAAAAAAACAAAACTGCAAACCTAACCTGTGTTCGTAACATGAAGTATCCACACTGCTACACACCACGCTTCCAGTGGCTCCCACTACACAGCCCACATACAGTGGGAGAGCTCAAGTTTAATGGACCAAACAGCCAGCACAATTGTCCGTCTTTTCCATTTCCTCTTTTTCCACTGGTGTTGAGCTCCACGACGCTTTGGTGAACAGAAATGGGGACATCAAATACGGGGCCGTGGACGATATAAAGAGCTTCATCTGAATCAAGCCAGATTTCACCTGCTCGACTGTGCAGCACTCTAGTTACAGCGAGGTTTGGGGCTGGAACACTGCCCCTTTGTGGTCAGAGAGAGAAAAATGTAGGACACAGAAAACTAGAAAATGTTCGCCTGAGGTTACATTGATATCAATTTAGTTAAAACTGGCCTCGACAACAGAACTACCACCCTCTAAAATTGGATTTAATATTGAAACGTCTCATTAGAGCATTTGCTATATTAAATATAACACAGGTGCATGATCATTGAGCAAGTATTGCTTATGAGGGAGTAAACCTAGAACGAAATGACTGCCAATTGCGTCACTGTGGGAAATCATGACTGCGTCACTGTGGGAAATCCAGTCCAACTATGAAGCAGGAAGCTGCAGTCCAAGTGTCACAGCAGCACTTGATTTAAAAACTTATTTCTGTCATTAAAAAAAACTCTTAAAGCCCTTGAATGGCAGAAAAACACATTTAAAAATGACATTACTTTAAGCTCATCTGCATCAAGGCCTTTGCCATTTCATACTATTTACAGTACATGCGTGTACTAATATTTCAACAAGTGTTTCTTGTTGCATTTCTTTCCCTTTGTGTTCTTATCAGCAGACTGAGTGGCACTAGAATGAAAACAATTGCAACTATTTAAGGTATTGTTCCAGGGCACCCAGTGCCACATACTGTATACACACACACACACACACACACACACACACACACACACACACACACA